GCTTCGGAACGCGCCTTCGACGGATCACTAGAGTAGACTGTCTTGTCATCTGCGAACATCAGTAATTTTGAACCCGCTGTCTCCGCAAGCCGGGGAAGGTCCCTCAGGTAGACATTAAAGAGGGTAGGGCCTAAAATACTTCCCTGAGGAACTCCTCGAGACACTGCAAGACTTGAAGACTGGCTGGCTTGCGTGACGACACGCTGAGATCTCCCGGCGAGGTACGACGCAAACCAACGCAGGGCGCTTGCATGAACACCCATGCCATGGAGCGCAATGAGTAACTGTTGATGCTGGACGCGATCAAACGCCTTGCTGAGGTCGACAAAGGCTACACTGGTAGTCTCTCCGCGGTCCTGGGCCAGTTTCCAATCATTTACAGCAAGTGTGAGCAGTTGTGTCGTGGAACGAGCTGGTCGGAACCCAAATTGGTGATCGTAGAGGTGATTTTCGATGGTCAAACTGTCACATACCTGATTTAGAACCAGGCGTTCCAGAGTCTTAGCCAGAATCGACGTGAGTGACACAGGACGATAGTTCGAAGGAGAAATAGGATCGCCCATACGGGATTTCAATATCGGCGTGACATTAGCCAACTTGAATTGTGTCGGGAACACAGCAGTGCACAAAGAGGTATTAAATATTAGGGTGAGGGAGAAGGCGATAACTGGTGCAACGGCCTTCAGGATGCTCGGGAGGAGACCATCTGGCCCAGACGCTTTTGTACCGTCGAGTTTCTGAAGGTGCCGAAGTACCTCATCCTCAGAAATAGGGCGAAACTCGTGCAAGTCACACGGTCTTGAGGTACCACTTGGAACAACATAAGCCGGGTTCGGATCTGACACAATACTATGGAAATACCTGTTCAAGGTATCTGCCTGGACGAGAGGCTCAGTTCTAGGGTTTGTGCGCCGGGTGACTGAGTTGATGGTGCTCCAAAGACGCCTAGGATCTCGCCGGTAATCGTCACAGATGGAGCGTAAGTGGGCATTTCGGAGTTGGCGATAAAGGTTATTGCATTTGCTGCGCAAAACTTTGAACTCCTTCTGTAGAACCGTACTACTGCAGTCAGACGAGCGGTACTTTCTGTAGACGGTTTTACGTCGCCTAATGAGAGCTAGTAGTTCCGGTGTCATGAATGGGCACTTCTTCCTTTTTCCAAGGGGATTGTCTCCGTGATATTATGTAGGGTGCAACCACATCCAAGGCGTCTTCAAATTTTCCTTGCCACTCTTCTAGCATTACATCAACCGACGGGGACGAGAAGGATCCGAGATCAGAAATTGACAATAAATGAGAGAGATCAGAGGCAGAGGCCTTACTGTAATCACGGCGGCGGGATCGATATATTTGTCCTTGTGTTGGAATTGACTTCGGAAAATAATACTGGTGTGAACAAACTCATGATCGGTGAACTCACAGGAGTGAACGCTTCCGTGCTCAACACAATCCATGTTCGTTAGTACACAGTCGATAAGTGTTTTAGATGTAGGTGTGATCCGTGTAGGGTGCGTAATCATATTCTTCAGATCAAGGGGAAGTAGCAGGTATGTGTTCAAATTGTCAAAATGATGCGTTTGAGGGGACAAGAAATCAACATTTAAGTCGCCCATCAGAATGAGATCTTCGCCCTGAATGTCATACATGACTTGCTGTAAAGATTGCCAAAAAGCCGCCGGTGCGGACGGTGGCCTGTAGAGACAGCCAATGAGGAATGATTCACCTGCTTCTCGTTTTTTGGAACGCAACCAAACCATTTCCAGGTCGATGTGCTGAATCAACATCCGCTTAAACCCAAGTTGCAACCTGCTGTAAATCACTACACCGCCGCGCTTTTGGCAAGGTGTTCCATTTGTACTGGAGCAGTTGTAATTGCACTTTCTGTCGAGACGGTGCATTGAGAACCCCCGGATGTCGACTTCTGAGTCCGAGATGCTGTTGTCGAGCCATGTTTCTGATACTGCTAAAATGTCTAAGTTATGGACCCGGACAAGCTTGGAAAACACGAAAAGCTTATTTCGCAAACTACAAATATTAATATGACCAATAGATATAGAAGAATATGTAATGCAATGAGGGGAAGGGTGTGATGAACTTGCGTGGGGCACAAAGGGTTGGGCAAGAGGATTTAGATTTGATCTGACTTCAGTCATTGTTTCTCGTCTGTTGAGTAGCGACGCTGGTCTACTCTGCCTGAAGTGCGACTTTTCAGCGAATTTTTGGGTAGTCTGCCACCTTAAGGCAAAAATTAAAAATTTCACCAGTTGTAGTCTTCGGGGTGCTGAGTCGAATGGTCTTGGTCCGAGAAAGCTGAGACGCTCCCTTCCTACTTGAATCCCAATCGAACTCGCGCACTTCCACCGAAACTGGGTGACTGCGCCCTACTAGATGGGGATTTGTATGCAAAATGTCACTAAAAGCGCCATTTCGTTCTTATAAAAGCACGGATGACCGCGATTGGCCCATATGTTGTACTCTTTTGGACGCTGAGTCGACTGGTTTTGGTCCGAAAAGGCTGCGATGCAGCGTTCCTCCTTTATTCCCAATCGAACATGGTTGAACAAGCGGTCGCGTGCTCCTGCGTACACCAGTCACCTGGTCACCGTGCCTGCAGGGTACAACTTACTATTAGTATTACTTACTAGCCTGTTTGACCTTTTTTGGGTGCAGTCCTGCCACTCGAGTTGAACTTTGGTGTGAAAGTTGTCGCCTGCTGGCGTGGTGACCAGGTGATTTTTTTTTTTTTTTTTTTTTTTTTTTTACTAAGGCCACAGCTTCCAATCATGACATGCAAAGCAGCGGTGCAGCATCGCAGGCATGAATCGTGGACGTGGTGACGGGGTCTGATGTGCTCCACCGACCTAGGGTCTCGGCTTCACTGCACATGATTTGGGCACCCAGGAGCACGTGACCGCTTGTTCAACCACGTTCGATTGGGAATAAAGGAGGAACGCTGCATCGCAGCCTTTTCGGACCAAAACCAGTCGACTCAGCGTCCATGACTTTCGACATGATCGTTAGCAGTGATATTGGTCGGTAGTTAGATGCCAAAGATCTGGAGGACCGTTTATGAACCGGGACTACATGGGCAAGTTTCCATGCCCCAGGTTGCACACCGGCTAAGAAGCAGAGGGCGAAGAGCTTTGCCGGTGGGTCTGCAAGTATTAGTTCAGATGAGCACATCTTGAGCACACGAGCAGAGATGCCATCCGGTCCAGTTGCTTTTGATACAGCCAAGTTAGTTCGCCAAGTGCCGTTTGACCGTTGCTGCGCGGAAGTGAATGTGCTTTAGCGTGGCATAGGCAGGTCGTTGCAGGTCAGGCAGGTCAGCAGCACAGAGGTCGTTATTGCCAAGGCTACACTTGTTGGCAAAACTACTGCTGTTCAACCACCTGACACCTCTTTCTACTGTGTGATTATGTTATCATTCATGGCCGTTAGTAGTGATTCCCGTTGTGTCCATGTAGTCCATCGGCCAAATCTCAGAAAGGGCCTCTTTCGGCGAAGGTGATGCACTGAAGCTCCAACTAAACGCCCTTTGGCACACTAGCTCATGAGACCCCATAGAATACGAATCCGATTGTTGGACGTTGCCAATCCAGTCCAGGATAGTCGAACTGGGTCGAATACCTTCTTCCGATTTTCGTAATTTCGTCCACCATTACATCTTTCTCATCGACTTTTTTTCGCTTGGCGAATGTTCTTGAGCCGCTGAGCAGAATCTACGCACGCTCGAACACTTGAAATGCCTGCATGTTGACGGTTCGCAAGATTCTAGCGAGCTTGGTGGAAATCTATTATTTATTTTGACATTTTTTGGGGAATCTGAATTAGAACGGTAGAAGCTCATTCGGAGAAGACGGCGTGTCGCCGCTGTCGGATTGTCGCTACTGTGTTTCAGACGTATTTGCTTGAACGTGCTATTGAGGATGGACAGAAGATGAAGTGACGGCTTTCTTGAACACCGACGTTTTGTGTACATTGTAGCTGAAACATCTCATCTGGCGTCTCGAACGCAATTATTATGAGTTGTGAGTGCCAGCTGAGCTGAACACAAGCTGGACACCATTCGTCAGTTGGGAATTTGCATCGAAGCTCTTGATAGCCACGATAAGCATAATTATACAGAGGTAACCTTGTTTGACTCAATACGCATGCAGGTGATACCACTAGTGGCGCTACAATGTAAATGGTGCAAAATTGATGCAACAGCGAATATGTACTTCGTACAATCACGAACAATTGTAAGGCAAGTGTTCATGCCTGTCATAGAAGAATTTCAGCCCGGAAGTCTTGTTGTCATGGTCATAAATAATACAGGACTTGAGTTGGCTCTGGACATAAACACACTTGTGGTGAATATGGTCATTATTGCGAGAAAAATATTTAGCCACTGTATGGCAACTGATGCCGCACTACACGCAATATTTCATGTACATGTATGTGAGACTCAATTGCATCCACAAGGCCGTAGATGCATGTAAGCACACAATGCTGTACAGTATAAGTAGTAGTCGACATGTGGTGCCTTCCTGCTGCACATGCACATGCGGCAAGTTGGCAACGACACATGACTTATCGGCACCGCACAGCGTGAGCTTAGAAAGGAATATTGCACACATAGTGCTATTTGTGTTCCGATATCGTTAAGCCGGTATACATGTACTAGTATCCTTATACATGTACCTGGTCACTCGATAGGCGATGCCGACTGTACTAATCTTATCCATATTACCCGATAGGCTATAGCACACTGCGTCAGATCACTATGCAACAAAACAAGAGCTTTGGAGCGAATATACATTGAAGCAAAGTAGGTTTCAACGGTACAGCACTAGTCACGATGAGAGGAGTTACGAGGATGGTTAGGCCGTGACACATAGATGATGATTGTTAATGATTCATGCACGGTGGAAAATCACCACCAATGGCGATGATATTGCTTTCACAACAACAATGACATCCGCGAGGTAATCGAAGGACCGCCGAGCGCGCCAATGATGACGAAATGCAAGCTAGGCTGGTCAGTACATGGCAATGACAGGGCAGGAGTCCCACAGATCGAACATTGCCACCTTGCAAGAACCGCTGACGATGACCTCCATCAGCTCGTCAAGGAGTCATTCAGCACGGAGTCGTTTGGTGTGAAGGTCACCTCCAACAAGACCAGCTCGAGGGAAGAAGTCCGTGCCGAGAGGCTGCTGGAGTCCACCACCAAGCGAGTTGGCACCCGTTGGGAGACAGGTCTGCTATGGCGCTCGAGTGACATCGCCCTCCCCGAGAGCTACGAAATGGCCAAATCGAGGCTGATGTCTCTGGAAAGGAAGATGGACCGAAACCCAGCCTATGCAGATCAGTACTGCTCTAAGATTGCAGAGTATGTCGCTACAGGCTATGCGAGAAAACTGACAGAGGAAGAGAGGACAGAGGAAGAGCTGGACCAAGACAACGTTGGCCGCAGGTGGTACTTGCCACACTTTGGAGTAGTTAACCCCAACAAGCCAGGGAAAATTCGCCTGGTATTCGATGCAGCAGCAAAAAGCAACGGCATGAGCCTTAATGATGCTCTAGTCAGTGGACCAGATCTCCTCAATCCTCTTCCGAGTGTCCTCTTCAAGTTCCGGCAACACCGAATTGGTTTCGGCGGAGACATCCAACAGATGTTTCATCAGGTACTCATCAGGAAAGAGGATCTGCCAGCACAGAGATTCCTGTGGCGAGGGCGTGACCGTGGCCGAGAGCCAGATGTCATGCAAATGACAGCAATGACATTTGGTGCCACATGCTCGCCGGCAGCCGCTCAGTATGTGATGCGAAAGAACGCCTCGGAGTTCACCGATCGGTGGCCTGACGCCGTACGGGCCATCTGTGAGAATCACTATGTCGATGACTACTATGACTCCACCGATGATGAAGAACAAGCCAGAAACCGAGTGGACCAGGTGTCGGCCATCCACGATGCTGGTGGGTTCCTCATTCGCCACTGGGTCAGCAACTCCAGAGAGCTGCTGCAGCACATTCCAGCAGAGCGCCGAGCAGTTGACGCACCGACATTCAACAGCGGCACGGAGCTGCCCATGGAGCGAGCGCTTGGTCTGAAGTGGGACCCAGAGACTGATCAATTTAACTTCCGCCTCAGTCAACGCCTCGTTGACCAAGAAGCTAAGTCACCCCGGCCAACAAAGCGACAGGCACTCCGCATGATCATGTCAGTGTTCGACCCGATGGGGTTTCTATCCTGTCATACCCTAGCAGCACGAGTCCTTCTGCAAGATGTTTGGCGCACTGGAGTTGGGTGGGACCAACCCCTACCGGACAGTCTGCTGGAAAAGTGGCGTCAGTGGTGGGGAGGTCTCCGCGAGCTAAGTCACATCGTTGTACCCCGCTGCTACTGCCTGAGAATGTCAACGAGGAAGTCATGTCAGCTTCATGTCTTTGGCGACGCCAGCGAGGACGGCTTTGCAGCCGTCGCATACTTTCGAACAACTCTTGAAGACAGGACCTCTCAAGTCTCTTTCGTCCTGGGCAAGAGTCGTGTCGCCCCGTTACGGCCGATTTCCATCCCAAGGCTCGAGCTACAGGCGGCACTCATGGCTGCAAGAATAGCACGGACGGTTCTGGAAGGGCACGACCTACTCATCGACAGCACAACGCTATGGACAGATTCAATAACAGTCCTTCGGTGGATTCAGGCAGATGCCAAGAAGTTCAAGCCGTTCGTCGCCCACAGAGTCGGTGAGATCGATGAACTATCTGCAGTGTCACAGTGGAGGTGGGTGCCAACAACCCTCAATCCAGCTGATGCCGCAACGAGAGTACTGCCAGATGTCCAAGGCAGACAACTTCATTGGCTTCAGGGTCCGAAGTTCTTGCAAGCTCCAGAGGCTGATTGGCCAGAGGAGACCACACATGCGAAGGCTACTGACGTCGATGCTGATCGCCAGGAGATGAAGGCAGAGTTCGCCGGAATGCACACCGTGCCAGAGCCGTTGGTCTTACCAGACGCCAACAGTTATTCATCGTGGATGAAGCTGGTGAGAGTCACGGCATGGATGGCTCGATACGTCAAGAACCTGCGGGCCAAGGCAGCCGGAAAGCCAGCCACTGTTGGGGAGCTCCTTCCGACAGAGTTCCAAAGGGCTCAAGAGCTGTGGTGGCTCAGGACTCAAAGAGACAGCTTTGCAGGTGACGTTGCAGAACTGAAGAAAAATGGGTCTGTGACGAAAGTGAGTCGTTTGTACACTCTGTCCCCAACCATCGATGGAGTTGGTGTGATCCGCATGAGTGGACGGGTCAGGACCGCACCGAGTGGGAGCGCCATTGATCTGGATCCGGTTATCCTGCCACCAGATCACGCGTACACTCGACTCATGCTCCAACACCTCCGCGATATCTGTGGTCACCAAGGACAGGCTCAGGTAGCCAACGAGATCCGCCGACAGTACTGGATACCGGGACTACGTACTGCGGTGCGGCGCACATGATCCGTTTGCCAACGCTGTAAGAATGATCACTCCAAGCCGATACCTCCGCAGATGGGCAACTTGCCCGAGGGGAGAACAGCTGCTTTCGTCCGCCCGTTTACGCACTGTGGTTTGGATTACTTCGGGCCTCTGGAAGTGACAGTTGGCAGGAGACGTGAGAAGCGGTATGGTGCTATCTTTACATGTCTCACCACGCGAGCAGTTCATCTTGAGATCGCTCATAACCTAACGACCGACAGCGCTATCATGGCGATCCGAAGAATGGCCAGTCGACGAGGGCTACCCGGGAGTCCTGTATTCTGACAATGGCACCAATTTCCATGGCGCCGAGAGAGAGAGATGCGTGAGGCCTTGCAAGACCTTGACCAGGAGAAGATTACGGGATTCCTGACGCCGAAGGGAGTGGAGTGGCGTTTCAACCCGCCAGCAAGTCCGCACATGGGTGGAGCCTGGGAGCGACTCGTTCACTCTGTGAAAACCGCCCTGAGTGCAGTGTTACACGAGAGGTCTCCTAAAGAGGAAGTCTTAACGACCCTGTTCGCTGAAGTCGAAGCAACCCTGAACAGCCGCCCGTTAACTCATGTATCATGCGACCCAAAGGACGAGGACAGCCTGACCCCGAACCATTTTCTGCTTGGGACACCAGCTCAGACGCACCCACCAGGACTCTTCACGGAAGATGACCTCTGCCTCGGGAAGCAGTGGCGCATAGCACAGACCCTCGCAGCCCACTTTTGGCGACGCTGGCTAAAAGAATACCTGCCCTGCCTCCAAAGGAGGACGAAATGGCATGGTGCCGATCCAAGACCTGTGAAGCCTGACGACATTGTTGTGATCGCCGATGGAAGCCTGCCGAGAGGCACTTCGCCGAAGGGACGTGTTACTGCTGTCTATCCCGGCCCAGACGGACGAGTGCGAGTAGCAGATGTGCAGACGCAGACCGGCACCCTCCGACGACCTGTCAGTAAGATCTGCGTCCTGGATGTCCGACGATAGGGTGAACGATGGATCGTCACCGGGGGGAGGATGTTGGCAAAACCACTGCTGTTCAACCACCTGACACCTCTTTCTACTGTGTGATTATGTTATCATTCATGGCCGTTAGTAGTGATTCTCGTTGTGTCCATGCTGCTGGTTGCACTTGTGATCATCATAACTGTATTGCGTGAATGCATGATCCTTCTCGTGTTTCATTGCGGTGCCACTATGGATCTATGGCCCGATGCTTAGGTTATAGTGCATTGTAGACTTACTTTTCTTTGTGTAGTTTCAGTCCACACCGCAGACTGCGTGATCTGCCTGTAGCTGTGCGCAGAATCCTGACGCTGCGCGCGTGGTATTTGTTTCGTTCGCTTCCGGTGCATTCTTACTGTACGGTGTGGATCTACCCTTGTGCATATATTAGCCTGTAGCCCTCTTTAGTCGGGGGCCTTTTTCCTTTGTTCCTTGCTGGCAGAGTGTGCAATTATTTGGTTGTGTGAAAAGAGAATCTTCCAATACTCAACTTCAGAACTCGTGGATGTTCTAAACTTGTGAGGTACAGTTGAGCCCTGGGCTCGACTTGTACAAGAAACAACACTTGTTCGCAAAATGCGCTGCAAAGCACTCGGCTTTCTCACGAGAAGAGTGGAACTCTTGTCCTGCAGGGTTGGTCAGCAGGGGGATGTCAGAGCAAGGTCCCTTGCCTGCTGCGCTCTTGATGGTTGACCACCACTCTTTGTCCCGGAGGGAACCTGCAGTAAGCTTGTTGCGAATTCTACGTTGATGTGCTAATCGCGCTGCATGACACGCTTCCACTTCGTGGTTAACAGTTGTGATGTACTGGACCTTGTGGTTATCGTTGCGGGGATCGCGTCGCCACAGCTTCCATGCCCGCTCCTTGGCATGATTGGCGTTAGAACAGTCCGGTGTCCACCATACAGGGTTGGATTGGTGTACCACAAGCTCTTTGGGTGGTATGAACTGTTTCATTCCATGCATGATGGCATCAGTTACGCGCTGACAGGACTGCTCCGCACACCCATGGATCTTGGTGGGCCAGTCTATGTTGCGGAGGTAGGCTCTCGGGCGGTGCCAGTCAGCAAGGGCGTATTTTCAAGGATGCTGGTTGCCGTGGGAGCAAATCGTCAGGCTCCATAGGAGGAGAATCCACCACAGACGGCGCTGCCACGACGGAAGCAGAGTCACGACTAGCAGACTCAGCAGGCATTGACAAATCATTGATAGGGCGACGCACAGAATCAGCCGCCTGAACAGCAACGCCCAACAATCGCCCACTCAAATCTGGTTGTTAGACGCATTATGTTGGTTATGATAGTTCGATCTCAAATCAGATGATGGGTGAGTGCATGGCACGTCCGCTCCAGCACACGAGCCTCCAGCACTCCGTGACCCTACATTCCGGGGAACCCAACCAGGAGGCGCAGCAGGAGGCGCAGAAGGCACATGAGTCTTGACTATAGGTCGGGGTTGTGAACGTGCGGGTGTGTCAAGACGAGCAGCGATTACACAAAAAATCAACGTCATTAACATGAAAGTAATCATCATTAGTATAAATCGTCATTCTCTTTCCCGGATTTATGTTGAGTGCGTGAAAGGCGTCCTCGCATCTTGAAACATGCAAATTAGAATCACTATCCAAAATAATTCACCCTCGTCTTCTGTACTAAGTATGTCGTTTTAGGAGCGTGTACGTGTTCCAGATGTCCATCAACTCCTTTCCGTCTCGGCTACTAGTATCCATGATTAGTTATTGTTGTAACGATTCACCACCAAGCGGATGTACGAAACACATCATTCCTGAAAACATCTTCGTATGAACACTTCCTGCTCGTACTGCACGCTACATTGTATATGCTGGCTTTGAGTTTGAGTATCAAAGCCAAGTTAGTGTTAGTTAGCCCAAGCGGGCAAAAGCGCAGTAATCGTCTCATGATGCATATCATTAAAATTATTATTCTGGGCCGAGTATGGTCTGTAATTTGCATTTATTTTTGCACTGCTGCTACTGTGGTCTTTATACGCGCGCTGCTGGAGATAATTGAAAGCAGTTAGGTGCGTCTTTTCCTGAGGACAAGAAGTGCTTTTCCTTGTCAGGCTGATATCCCCCCCCCCCCCTCCCTTTTCCCAATGGCTTCCTGTGGGAGGGCCACATATACCTGCCTGCTGTGTTGCTGCAACAATGTTGTGGCAGCGGCAGATTGATGTGGTAGACTGATTTTGTAACAGACTACCCAGTACCCTTGTGCTGTTGCTGGGTGTCGTAGTTTGTCAGTTGGTAGCGTGTGCTTTATATTGTTGGGGGTGGTGGATTGCCTTGCCTGGTTCCTGTGCGGTGGCTGCGAATGTGCCTTACTTAGGGCACGACAAAAGATTTCGACGGCTCAGATTCGGAACAAAAGTTGTGTCAAAACGCTTCTGATATTCTTTTCACATGCGTCCCGATGCAGGTAGCATCATGATGATGTGGAGTAAGGACAAAGCGATCCGATTTTCGATCGCACGTGTATTGTTATCTGTCGTGAGCTGGGCCGCATTGATTGCAGCACGCCAAGGTGATCAACTGGAACATGTTACAGCTTTGCCAATTCAACCAGTTCCGGATTCCATTCTTCTAGAGAGCGGCGAATATGTATCCACTGCGAAAGTGCTCATCAACGAGGCTGTCATGTTTCGAGAAAATAACCGAAGTAAGTACACTCTGCATCTGATGTACATCTACAAATATGTACGCAATGGAAAACTCTACTTTGAAGTGTCGGTATATGACATAAGCCACATAGGCGGTCAAACATGGAGAGTGTTTGAGCGTGAAATTAGCCTGATCGAAACTATCGGACCAATGTGTTCTTCCTCGCGGATCAGTATGCCGAGCATAGTTGTGTCTCCATCCAAGCATCAGGTAATTCTTCACGGTTTTGGTCCTGGTGAATGTGCCAACGTGCTTCTAGTGTACGAGGACAGAAAAACCAGAGTCATTAGAGCACAGCAACAGCAGCAGGGGACTCCCCTAGTAAGCGAGTTTGGATCTGCTCTGGCCACCATCCCCATAACAGACCCTCTCCGTGGGAATTATTCAGGCGAAATGTTCTACCTGGTGTCTTATGGAGGGTGTTCGTCGAAATTCTATTCTGCAATCACACGCCGTTGCACGCGTTCATCCAATAACTTGCACCGTTTACGCGTACAAGGACACGTATTCGGAGAGTGGGAGTACATTGATTTTCAGCTAAAGAAAAGAAAAACCCCAGAATCTTCAGTATTCTCTAGGCTCTTCAAAGACAATGCGAACTCCATGCTGTTGTTTGGTGGAGTGACGCAAAATGCAATGTCAGCGCCTCATATCTTCGGTATCTGGAGATTAGACCTCTTGTCGTTGATCTGGACAGAGGTGAAGACCAACTTCAACATCTTAAAAACATATGGTGAGGAACTAATGGTAGTCAACAACCAGGCAGTGCAGAGGAGGTTCATTATTTATTTGCCACGCAAGGGAACAATAATTATTTGCGATGTGCGGCGAAGCATCGCCAGATGTGCAAAGCCAGTAACTCCAAAACACTTGGTGGCCTCGACTCATCTTCAGTTTATTAACTACCAAATTTCGTCTGGACTTAGCCTCGTCTTTTTCGTTGGAAGAACATATAATATCATATCGACTAGCGTGTATGAAATGCTCAGAGGGACTACAGCAATTCAACGAATGGAGTCAGCCGAAATTTATGTGTCAAAGCATTTCCTTGGTTCCTTTGCGAAGAAAGTTCCCGGCGTCCTAGTACCGCCCAGTTCCTTTGGCAAGCTGAGATACGTGTTCTTTGGAGCGGAAACACCTATACCATCCAGTGAAAGTGCCATGGCTATATGGATATTGCACAACGTACCTGGGTCCAGGACCGATTTTGTCTACACACTGCTCTACCCAAGCCCAGCGCCTCCTATCGCTCAACGCAAATGTCATACCGTAACTTTGGTGGCAAACGACACAGCAATCCTGTACGGAGGCTCTAGTCATGTTGCCAGTAAGTCCTCACCTACTGGTACTGTGGAAAAGACCGACCCAAATCCCTGGTGCTATTCTTTGCAGATACACGCTTGGAAGAAAAGTAATGTCACTGCGTCTAGTTTCCCGTCTCCCCGAACACAGCACATAGCATTCCAATACAACTCAACCACCATTGTCGTGCACGGTGGACTAGTCATCAAAGGGTTTCGCAACTATGCTTTAGGTGATTTGTGGATGTTCGTCCTTGACGATGCGGAGCGCTGTTGGGGAAGGTGGCATAACCTGACAGCTCATGTCAAGACCGGCAAACTACCAATACAACATGGTCATTCAGTAACACCTGCTGAAAATGGAGTATTTCTCTACGGAGGAGAGTTTCAATCACCTTCCATACTTACCTTCCTTGCCGTACTTTCACCAAGCCAAGTGGTAGTCCAGCCTATTCCGATTAGCCCCAGCATTCCAAATCGCTGGGACCATAGTCTTTCATATTTCAGCAATGATTTGATTCTACTGGGTGGCATGCACAAGATTGGTCGCACTCAGATGGAGGCAGATTGGGCTCTGCTGATGTCCGTGCAAACAAATGAAACTTCTTCCGTGGTCACCTGGACAAAATTCTTTGAAGTCAAAATCTGGTCACATACTGTGCTTGGAGATATGATTTTTGGTGGTTTCAGACTCCCTGTCAATGATATTTTCAAAGTCAGCATTCTCAACACCACAGGATTGTGTCCTTTTGGACATGGACGGGATCGACACAATGCATGCCATCCATGTGCCATTGGGTATTACTCAGCCACTCTTCAACAGAAATGTACAAAATGCAACCAAACACTGACAACCAGCAATGTGGCATCCAGTCATTGTGTACCCGAGGACCCGTGCAAGCCACACATCTGTAATCATGGTGACTGTATCGTCGACGAGGTCAACTTCAAACATATCTGTGTATGCCAATTCGGATATATTCCCGATGATGACTGCAAGACACCATCCATCTACCTGGCCTTGATGGCAGCTCTTGCTTTCACGTCCACTCTAACTATACTCACCATTGCTCTCATTCAGTTATTGAGGAAGAGAAGAGCCCTCAATGCCAAGGAAATTGAATTAGTCAACACCAACCGTGACCTCTACCGTTCCAACCGAAAACTCAGTCAAATTGATCATGGAACATGCATTGCCTGGTCGGATCTGAAGATCAAGAAACAACTAGCTACTGGGAGATTCAGCGAAGTATTCCTGGCAGAGTTAGGCGACATGGCTGTTGTGGTTAAACGACTTCCAAAATTTGTTGCCACTCCGTCACCTTACGATTCCTTTATCCGAGAAGCTGAAGTTCTTCGAACATTACGGCACCTCAATATTGTCATGTTCTTGGGAGCAGGAAAAGACAAAATATCTGGCCGGCCATTTCTAGTGATGGAATATTTACGACGAGGCTCACTCTACGATGTTATCCACGATGAATGCAAGATTATTGAACACATCGATCGTCTCCGCTTTTCCCTGGATGCTGCACGCGGAATCAAGTACCTGCACAGTACAAGTCCTCCAAGAATTCATCGTGATATCAAGTCAGCCAACATGCTGGTCAGTGATAAATGGGTGGTGAAAGTAGCTGACATGGAGACAACACGATTTCTTGCTATCCTACAAGCTAACACTGATCCAAAGGAGACCTCGCCCAGTGCTGCGAACGGAGAAATGGATCGTCCTACACGTACTACATCCTTCACAAGCCAGGAATCTGATCTGCTGACAACACCCCTTCTAGCTACCACAGTGCTCAGTGATGACAGCCGTGGTATAACTCCCGGCCAGGACAGGCACAGAGACACAGAGGGTATGACATCACGTATCGGAATGACGTGTGGAGTAGGCACTGATCGCTGGAGATCACCTGAATCTATCAAGAAGAATCTCTACACGGAGAAACACGATGTTTACAGGTAAGCATCAAGAACAGATTTAGACCCAGACTAATGTTTTTTATACAAAAGAAAAGGACCAACGAACTACAAGTTGCGCCATAATGTCCACTAACACCACCAGTTACTAAATAATCAGGTCATGCAATAACATTGCACGACACTGACCGACGGTACTGACGTTCTACAACTAACTGGCTAACAGCGCTAGGACATCTTGGGGGAAGCGCACTCCAACAGCCTTCCAACTTGAAAGGTTATAAGTTAGGCCAAACTAAAGAAGGTGTGTGGTTCGACTCACCCGACCGACCGTACAATTTCAGCCCGACCGTAACTTTTTTTCGGCGGGCTGTCGTGTGACTGACGTACGTGGACTGAACACGTCCACGTCTACGTGCTGTGCGGCGTGAGTCTGCGGACGCAGGCGGCTCCTTTTGGACTTGACTTGTAGTTGTACTGCAGTGCAGTGCAGTGAGTGGTACGACTGCTGCCTTGTGCTGGTAGTAGAGTCTACTCGATACGCGTATACAGTGTATTTACATGTACTAAAAAATATATTAAAAAAAAAAAATCCGCCCGCCCGCCCGTAAAAAAAATGTCCATGTTAGTCGAACCACACACCTTCTTTAGTTTGGCCTTATAGAAATAACATAAGGAGGGGAAGGTGAGCGCAACCAAGATAAGCACGAGCTGAAAGTCTCAGCTGTGAAGGACGTTGGCGGATGTTCATGCATGTCGATGACGATACTGGCAAGACCATTGGGCAATACGGTCAAACCACGATTCAAGGACGCAAAGCAACATTCCACACAACTTGTGTGGCTCAAGAGATGCGAAGATCAATAAAAGGGGAAGCTATGCGACCAAGAATCATGAAAAACCGAACGCCTCAGTAAAACAGCACTGTACTTCGACTATGACAATTTAGATGGACAATAAGCAGCGGTAATAAGCAGCAGTTTCACACAACGATCGTTTCGCCGTATAGATAAGGACGGCTCATCAGGTGTGCAAGAATGGACTCGGATGGAAAGCCAAGGACGTCAGTGTCGTGCAATTATTATAGATGAGCTGATTGTTTAGTAACTGGTGGTGTTAGTGGGCATTATAGCTTAACTTGTAGTTCCTTGGTCCTTTTCTTTTGTATAAATTAATCCTTGGCTCTCCATATGGCCATCCGAATGTTTTTTTTATTTTTTGAAGAAGATTCCCGAGAGACAAAGCCTCTCGAATCCTTCAAGTAATACAGATACAAAATCAGAACACTGCTTAGATAGGCAAGCCTGTGAGAGCTCGATCAAATAATTATTTGCATGTAAGCCCAGCCCTGTGGATGTGCAATGTCCACAAACAGTGATGAGTTGGGCACCCCAGCACTAGAGGATACGTTCATGTGTTTAGTTCAACCTTTTTTCCCCATTCTATTGTGTGTGCTCTATAACAATCATATGTTAAGTGCCCTCCTAGTAAAGGTAAGGTGCTAACCTACCAGGGCTGTAGTGCAGTCACTGCAGTGGCACATCTGAGCACAGTCACTGGCACTTCCAAGGTCCAGGAGATTAAACAAATCTCTACCCTTTGCCTGAAAGAGCTGATCCACTGTATATCCAAGCCAAGGTCATGTGACTTGGATGGCATACATGTATGCAGGGCATTTAAAAATACATGACGTAATAGTCCATTGCACCCCATAATAGAGTGTGATATCCTTGTGTTCTGTCTTGCCCCCTGGGCCCCCACTCCTAGAATGATCCCTACCTAGCCTGGATTTGCATGGGACATTTTGACCTGTACTTGGAAGTTCCCATGTTGAGCTGAGCCCTAAAACCCCAGCTTCCTCCTACCATGTATGCAACTTTTAACCACTGGGCCTCTGCCCCACCGAGGTCTAGTCCATCTTGGCTCGAAATATTCCTGGAATCAAATCAGATACGCATGTAAGCATGCCAGGAGTTTCCAAGGCAATACACCTGAAACACTGTACATGTTTGAACCTCCGTACACTTCTTAACCCGTAATCTTCACATTCTTTGTTTCCATGCAGCTTTGGCGTGGTGATGTGGGAGCTGAGCACTCGTCAGATACCATATGGACATCTCCACAACTCAGATGATGTACTTGATGAAATTGCACGTGGTAGCAAACTGATCTTTCCACCCAGCATCCGCTATGCATATCGTCATCTTGCTGAACAGTGCATCAAGACGGATCTTGAAGAACGACCATCTATGCATCGCGTAGTCCACGAGTTGACCTCACAATTGGATTCCATTTGAATTGAACCAGCACCAGTACGGATGTTTGCAGTCCAGGAGTGCACCTCGCAACCAGATTCCATCTGAATCTCACAAGGTGCATTGGGTCTTCAACAAGCGCGCACCATGGCTTTTCGCGTATCGTGGTGACGATCGGGCATCCTGACAGGACACACGAACTTAGCAAGGTACACAAAATCACAAAGTAACTTAGGTTTAGCCACTTCATCCAACCTTGACTGACAACCGTGTATTTCTGTTGAAGTGGAGGTAACTCTCATTATGCATGCTATAAGATCAGATCCAATTAGTTACGATAATTCTGGACTACTGTATTTGCATGCCTCACATGCCATCCCCGTCCCCTTTTCTCTCGCACGGAATCATGGATCTTTGAATGTCACTATCATTATCACAGAAAAAGGACATGTACATAGAGAACGCCTCTCAGCGTATTTAGTTGTTATTTCGGTACCTAACATGTGGCTTTGACTTTGGCATTAGCCTTATTAGGCATATTACTCCACTGTTGCATGTTGCCATATTTGAAATGTTGGGTAGTTGTTGTTTTTTGTTGTTTTCTTTATTTGAATTCGCTAAAACCAGACGGACAAAACTGTCCAGTGACAAGGGAGCGAATGGTGAGCGTCATATTCACTATGCATCAAAACATTTCAGGGCAAAATGAGACCGACTACAAGGAGGGTTTCCACAACACTAGTGCATACAGGGGAGTACCAGAACAAAGGGGCGGCAGAAGTCTAAACAAGAAAGCAATCAACGCCAGAGATGTTTTTGTCCACCAAAAACAGAGAGAGGGCGAGAGAGAGAGAGAGAGAGAGAGAGAGAGAGAGAGAGAGAGAGAGAGAGAGAGAGAGAGAGAGAGAGAGAGAGAGCGAGCGAGCGAGCGAGAGAGTGAGAGCGAGAGAGCGAGAGCGAGAGCGAGAGAGAGCGAGAGAGAGAGAGAGAGAGAGAGAGAGAGAGAGAGAGAGAGAGAGAGATAGAGAGAGAGAGAGAGAGAGAGAGAGAGAGAGAGAGAAAGAGAGAGAGAGAGACAGAGAGAGAGAGAGAGAGAGAGAGAGAGAGAGAGAGAGAGAGAGAGAGAGAGAGAGAGAGAGAGAGAGAGAGAGAGAGAGAGAGAGAGAAAAGAGAGAAAGTAAGTTACATTTATAAAGACAGGTAAGTCTAACAAATGAGGACTGAGACCTCTACAACAGGGTTTTACGCCTGAAAAGCAACCGCACGAATTAACAAGCAGGTTGTCAGAGAAACAGGGAGAAAGACAGGCAGGCAGGCCAACAGACAGGCATATAACGAAAATAAATATGGCGATAGTGATCCGTCTGCCCTCAAAGGTTCATGCTGTGTGGAACAGCAGCAGTGCGAAATTGGGCCGGGTGCGGTGTGGCCCGTACCTCGCTGGGCAACGCATTCCAGAGCCTAGCTCCTTGGAACGGCAGACAACCCTTACCCAGCTCAGTGCGGGTTGGCGGTGGTTTTAGACCCATAGATGATTGGAGCCGAGTAGGAGCGCCACTGGTTGGTAGCAACAGCTCTTGCAGTGTAGGGCTAGCACGGAAGTAGCGGCAGCGCCAAACCAGGAAGATGAGCTTCTGGATGAAGATCTCCCGGACACGGTAGGCGCCGAGTTGTACTAGCAGGTTTCTGGCAGAGGTGCGCGGCGAGCATCCGTACACAGCTCGAGCCGCACGATTCTGCAGAACTTGGAGACGGTCCAGGTGCTTACCCGCCAGCGATGCTGAGAAGGCATTGGAGCCATACGAGAAATCGGGCATGATTACAGACTTGAATTATTGGATGCGGCTTTGCATGCTGAGACAGGGGCGCATCCGCCACAGAACACCAACTTTCTTGTTGAGGCGGGCAACGCACCTATCCATCTGGGTGGTCCAAGACATGGCGGTGTCAATGTGCACTCCGAGGTAGCGAGCAGAAGAGACAAATGGCAGCTTAGTCGCATGACACCATGCATCCAGTTCAGTTTGCGCTTCTAGCTTCCCAGCCGGTACAACCAATGCCTGACTTTTTGATGCATTTTAAGGAATCAAACCCCGCTGCTTCAGCCCGTCAGCAATGCATGTCACTGCTCTGGAGAGAGTGGCGATCAGCTCCTGTTGTGTTGGGCGACTGCAGGTCAGTGTTCAGTATTGCAGTTCGCGCGTTTTGGCTTCATGTCTCAGTCCGCCGTTCCTGTTTGTCACCACATATGCTGCCTTTCTCCATGTTGCGTTCTTGCAGCATTGTCCTCACGCACGCACCTTGTGCTACTGTATTGTGCTTATCCATGCGTTTTCCTGCATTCTGATAGGAGTCGACTATCCACACCTGACCGACAGTGGGGAAAGTGGTCATACACGTTCTATATAGTCAGTGTCACACTCTCACCCATTTACCATTGTGGAAAACTCACCTTCCACTGGTAGGGTGTGTTACTTCCTACGGGGCAGCTGGCGCTTTTTCTGCCGACTTGATGCTTGACCGACTCACGATTATTTCTCACGGCATTAGTTCTAGTTCTTCCTAAAAACCGCTTGCTTACTGACCAACAAGAGTCTTAATTAATTTTTCAGTCAACGTTTACAAAAGTGATCATTATAAGGTCGCGGATGAGAACGTGAGGGTGTGTCAAGTCGTGCAGCGATTACAGAAAAAATCAACGTCCTTCTCTTTCCCGGATTTATGTTGAGTGCGTGAAAGGCGTCCTCGCATCTTGAAACATGCAAATTAAAAACACTATCCAAATACATGTACTTCACCCTTGTCTAGTGTAATACGTATGTTATTTTAGGAGCTTGTACGGGTTCTAGACGTCCATCAACTCCTTTCCACCGGGTTTTTCAGCTACTAGCATTCACAATTTAATAATTGATTTTTGGTTGGAGGAGAGCAAACCAGCACACGAAGCACAGAAGCCATACAATTTTTTCGACTAGGCCTTTCATTCCATTACTCTTCAGGTCGAATACAATGGTGATTAATAAGGTAGTAAGCAAGTCCTTATAACCGGCACTTTTGGCGGGCAGATCATTGACAAAAATAGCACTTGAAAAATAGCGCTAGTGGCGCCAACAGCATACTTGGCGGTCAGAGCATAGACCAAATAGCACTCTAAAAGATAGCTCTAGTGGCGCCAACTACACAGAGAGACAATGAAGAGACAATGAATATTACACAGTGAGACAATGAATATTACCAGTATCAGACTTTGGGTAATCCTGAAATAAAGATTATATATTATATAGACAACAGTGCCAGTGGGGACCACGATCTGTTAGACGTCTCTAGTGGCGCCAACTACACAGTGAGACAATGAATATTACCAGTACAGTGTATCAGACAACAGTGGGGACCACGATCTGTTAGACGTCCCTACTCGTCTCAAGCATGTGCTGTCACGTATCAGTAAGTTCGTTCCGTTCTGTGATTGGCTTCGTTTTAACAAACTGCTGGGTGAGATCGGCAGCCGCTCCCGCAACAGGCTACGTGCGGACTATGATGAGAGGATTGTATGGTTACGGCGAAAGAAGTTTGGATCCCCGGAATGCATCCGTGAATGTGTTTTCAATCTCTCAGATCTTGAGCTGTCCCCAATCCAAAAGGAAGTTCTCAGCCGGGGCCCCTCGTTTGGTATTCCCCCTTCCAATATCAGCAAGGAGTCAATTCTCGGTGAGTTTGAGATATTTTACTCCCAACTCGATCGCAATATGCCCGAAAATTACAGCAAGCGTGATGATGTCAAAGCAAAGCTTAGTGGCAGGAGTATGTGGTGAAAATTTCACTCAAATCCATTGAGAGACACCAAAGTTACGGTCAATTGAATGCCATGTGAAATTTATGGGTAGGCTGCTACCTTAAGCCAGTCCTTGACATGAATTCTTCGCATGTGGTCCAGGACTCCTTTGAATTTGCCAAATCCATCCAGCAGTACGACTCAGGAAGTAGTGAAGGGTTCATGTGCTCGTATGATGTAGTTAGGCTCTTTACGAATGTACCTATCATCGAAACAATTGACATCTGCCTGAAAGCTCTCTATCACAGTGACATCAACCCTCCTGAGATTGAAGAGACCCTGCTACGCAAGCTCCTGTACAAATCAACACGAGACGTAGAGTTCAGTTTCAATAACAACATGTTCAAACAGACAGACGGAGTGGCCATGGGGTCTCCCCTTGGCCCTGTCTTTGTCAATATCTTCCTTGGATACTGTGAAACTCTAATACCAGACGAGTTTTGGCCAGAACTTTACACTCGATATGTTGATGACACGTTTTCATTCTTCACCCAGCAGGATCATGCATTAACCTTTCTTGAACGGCTCAACTCTGTTCATCCATCGCTCCAGTTCACTATGGAGAAAGAAACTGAAAATCAACTACCATTCCTGGATGTCCTCGTTACACGGCATTCAAACAGTTTCAGTACAGCAATCTACAGGAAGCCCAACTTCACCGGACTATACACGCGATGGGACAGCTATGGCCCAACCGGACAGAAGATCGCCCTGATAAAGTCGCTGACAGTTCATGCCCAGCGTATCTGTTCCCCACAGCATCTTGACAAAGAGATCTCAAAATTGGAGTCCATCTTCTCCCGCAATGGCTATCCCCTGCATCTAGTTCAACGTGTAATGTCATAGGCACTGACAACAAGTGCCAGAGCTGAGGATAAGTCGAACCATGCTATCTTGCGACTCCCGTGGCTCGGCGACCAGTCGGCCATGTTCAAGCAGAAAATTCAAAATATTGTCCAGCACTATGTTCCACTCTGCTACCCAATCTGTTGTTTCACAACCCGGAAGATGTTTTCCACCACCAACAAGGATGTCCTGCCAATGACGTATTTAAGTAATTTCAGTAAAATTGTATTTATTCACCTGTGAGTGTGACCGCAGGTACATTGGCAGGACAACACAACGATTGGGTGATCGCATTGAGCAGCACATCCCCAACAAACTCGTACGGACAGTTACAGGAACAACAACACCGATTAGGACAGGGAGAAGCCGAACAGTCAAGGACATCACCGTCTCCGTCAACAAAGGGAGAAGAAAATCAACACCGATCAAACCACCAGCAACTGTCACGAGACGAAGTGAACGGCTGCGTCTCCGCAACAACGCTCTGCAACAAGCGGCTGATACAGGATCGGCATGTGGAACAGTGTGTGACTCCTCGCCCGGCAGAGAAGTCGCCAGCGGCACAACTGCGATGCACAATAGCTACCACAGGAATGGACCAGCGGACAAGGGATGGTTGGTTGGTTGGTATAATTTATTTCATTTTACTTCGCCAGAATGAACAGGCATTGCTGCCTTCTTGCCTGGACAAGTGGATTGTCCAAGCTTTCACAAAAAGACGAAGAAAGGAAAGAAATATTACATGAGAGTGTGAAGCATGCAATCTTATAAGAGAAAATGACGATAATGAGAAGGACTCAGCGATACTCCGTCACCTGACATCGTCACCAGCCTGCCTAAGTGCAGTCTGCAAACATGGCACCCACTCTCACTTCAATTCATTTCGCCAGGAACTTAACAATTTCATTCATCTTGGGCACCCTGTAAGAAGACCTTAGGGTCTGTTGGGAATGCCCAAGTAAAATAATAAAATACAAAAATACAATACTTCACGATTCAAGCGCGTGCGCGCAACAAGTCTCACCTTGCTGTGCTGAAGGCAGTGTACATACCATCTCTAGTATAAGCACAGTCTCCAATAATAGCACATCTCCAATAATAGAACACCTTTGGGCGGCATTCAAAGAATACAGTGCTCAGTCTCCCTTACAAGCACACTGTGTAAATTCACTATCTGTACCGGCGAAAAAACCCTGAAATGTGTTTGTCTGACATGAATTTGGCATGGTAACAAGCCTCTGAAATGAGGTTGAAGTAATAATGGAACAGTCTCCAATAAAGGAACGTCTCCAATATTAGCACGGGGCGGAGGTACATTGAAAAAATAAAGGACCGTGCTTATTATTAGAGATAATACGGTAGTCATTGCCAAGCTGAAGCCTGAACTGTGCGTGCAAAAAAGTATGTGCGAAAGTTGTCACCAGTTTTGACTGTTTTGACATTGTAGTACCGTGGTCCCCACTGCTGTCTGATACTGGTAATATTCATTGTCTCACTTTCTATTTGGTCTATGCTCTGACCGCCAAATATACTGTTGGCGCCACTAGCGCTATTTTTCAAGTGCTATTTTTGTCAATGCTCTGACCGCCAAATATGCTGTTGGCGCCACTAGCGCTATTTTTCAAGTGCTATTTTTGTCAATGCTCTGCCCGCCAAAAGTGCCGGTTATAAGGACTTGCTTACTACCTTGTTAATCACCATTGTATTCGACCTGAAGAGTAATGGAATGAAAGGCCTAGTCGAAAAAATTGTATGGCTTCTGTGCTTCGTGTGCTAATTTAATAATTAAATTTTGAATAATTATGATTGTATTGTTGTGATAACGCTCGATCGACCACCATGCGGATGTACGAAACCACGTCATTCTTGAAAACATCTTCGCATGAACACTTCCTGCTCGTACTGCACGCTATTTAAACGTTTGATGATAAATTAATAATTATTATGATGATGCATCGGTGAGGGTTCGACAGGTTGTTTTATTTCGCAAATCCAAACGGGACTTTCTTCCACAGGTAGCGTGTGCTTTATGTATTGTTGGGGTGGTGGATTGCCTTGCCTGGTTCCTGTGCGGTGGCTGCGAATGTGTTTTACTTAGGGAACGACAAAAGGTTTCGACGGCTCAGATTCGGAACAGAACATTTCACATGCGTCCCCATGCAGATAGCATCATGGTGTGGAGTAAGGACAAACTGATCCGATCTTCGATTGCACATGTTCTGTTATCTGTCATCAGCTGGGCTGTATTGATTACAGCACGCCAAGGTGATCCACTGGAAAACCTTAAAGCTTGGCCAATTCGACCGGTTCCGGATGCCATTCTTCTAGAGAGCGGCGAATATGTATCCACTGCGAAAGTGCTCATCAACGAGGCTGTCATGTTTCGAGAAAACAACCGAAGTAAGTACACTCTGCATCTGATGTACATCTACAAATATGTACGCAATGGAAAACTCTACTTTGAAGTGTCGGTATATGACATAAGCCACGCAAGCGGTCAAACCTGGAGAGTGTTTGAGCGTGAAATTAGCCTGATCGAAACTATCGGACCAAAGTGTTCTTCCTCGCGGATCAGTATGCCGAGCATAGTTGTGTCTCCATCCAAGCATCAGGTAATTCTACACGGTTTTGGTCCTGGTGAATGTGCCAACCTGCTTCTAGTGTATGAGGACAGAAAAACCAGAGTCATTAGAGCACAGCAACAGCAGCAGGGGACTCCCCTAGTAAGCGAGTTTGGATCTGCTCTGGCCACCATCCCCATAACAGACCCTCTCCGTGGTAATTATTCAGGCGAAATGTTTTACCTGGTGTCTTATGGAGGTTGTTCGTCGAAATTCTATTCTGCAATCACACGCCGCTGCACGCATTCATGCAATAACTTGCATCGTTTACTCGTACGGGGACACGTCTTCGGCGAGTGGGAGTACATTGATTTTGAGTTGAAGAAAAGCAAGTACCCAGAATCTTCAGTATTCTCGAGGCTCTTCCATGACAGTGCGAATTCCATGCTGTTGTTTGGTGGAGTGAAGCGGAATGAAAGCACCACACCTTTGAATTTCGGAATCTGGAGATTCAACCTCTCATCGTTGGTCTGGATAGAGGTGATCAACTTAGACATCTCGTTAAAATATGATGTAATGGTAGCCAGCTACAAGGCAGCGAAGAGCAGGTTCATTATTTATTGGCCACGCAAGGGAACACTAATTATTTGCGATGTACGGCGAAACATCGCCATCTGTGGAAAGCCGAAACACCTGATGGCCTCGACTCATCCTCAGTTTCTTAACTACCAAATTTCGTCAGGCCCTGAACTTGTCTTTTTCGTTGGAAGAACACACAGTATCATATCGACTAAAGGGTATAAAATCCGCCAACGGACCACAAAAGTTGACCGAATGGAGTTAGCCCGAATATATGTGTCAGAGCATTTCCTTGGTTTTAAAACTGTTTCCTCTGCAAAGAAAGTTCCCGGCATCCTAGTACCGTCCAGTTCCGTTGGCAAGATGAGATACGTGTTCTTTGGAGTGGGAACACTAAGTCTTCAACTGTCTAGTCGAACTGCCATGGCTGTATGGATATTGCACAACGTACCAGGGTCCAGGACCGATTTTGTCTACACACTGTTCTACCCACGCCCAGCGCCTCCTATCCCTCAACGCAAATGTCATACCGTAACTTTGGTGGCAAATGACACAGCAATCCTGTACGGTGGCTCTAGTCTTGTTGCACACAAGTTATCACCTATTGGTACTGTGGATAAGACCGACCCAAATCCTTGGTGCTATTCTCTGCAGATGCACGCTTGGATAAAAGGTAATGTCACTGCGTCTAGGTTCCCGCCTCCCCGAACACAGCACATAGCATTCCAATACAACTCAACCACCATTGTCGTCCACGGTGGACTAGTCAGCAAAGGGTTTCGCAACTATGCTTTAGGTGATTTGTGGATGTTCGTCCTTGACGATGCGGAGCGCTGTCGGGGAAGGTGGCATAACCTGACAGCTCATGTCAAGACCGGCAAACTACCAATACAACATGGTCATTCAGTAACACCTGCTGAAAATGGAGTATTTCTCTACGGAGGAGAGTTTCAATCACCTTCCATACTTACCTTCCTTGCCGTACTTTCACCAAGCCAAGTGGTAGTCCAGCCTATTCCGATTAGCCCCAGCATTCCAAATCGCTGGGACCATAGTCTTTCATATTTCAGCAATGATTTGATTCTACTGGGTGGCATGCACGAGATTGGTGGCACTCAGACGGAGGCAGAATGGGCTCTGCTGATGTCCGTACAAACAAATGAAACTTCTACCGTGGTTACCTGGACAAAATTCTTTAAAGCCAGAATCTGGTCACATGCTGTGCTGGGGGATAAGATTTTTGGTGGTTTAAGATTCCCCGTTAATGACATTTTCAAAGTCATCATTCTCAACACCACTGGTTTGTGCCCTATTGGACATGCACGAGATCGACGCAATGCATGTCATCCATGTGCCATTGGGTATTACTCAGCCACTCTTCAACAAGAGTGTACTAAATGCAACCAATCACTAACAACCACCGTCGAGGCAGCAGCTGACTGTGTTCCGAAAGGCCCATGCAATGGCAACACTTGCAATAGACATGGTGACTGTATCGTCGACGAGGTAAACTTCAAACATCTCTGTGTTTGCCAATTCGGATATCTTCCCGATGATGACTGCAAAACACCATCCATCTACCTGGCCTTGATGGCAGCTCTCGTTTTCACGTCCACTCTAACTATACTCACCATTGCTCTCATTCAGTTCTTGAGGAAGAGAAGAGCCCTCAATGCCAAGGAAATTGAATTAGTCAACACCAACCGTGACCTCTACCGTTCCAACCGAAAACTCAGTCAAATTGATCATGGAACATGCATTGCCTGGTCGGATCTGAAGATCAAGAAACAACTAGCTACTGGGAGATTCAGCGAAGTATTCCTGGCAGAGTTAGGCGACATGGCTGTTGTGGTTAAACGACTTCCAAAATTTGTTGCCACTCCGTCACCTTACGATTCCTTTATCCGAGAAGCTGAAGTTCTTCGAACATTACGACACCTCAATATTGTCATGTTCTTGGGAGCAGGAAAAGACAAAATATCTGGCCGGCCATTTCTAGTGATGGAATATTTACGACGAGGCTCTCTCTACGATGTTATCCACGATGAATGCAAGATTATTGAACACATCGATCGTCTCCGCTTTTCCTTGGATGCTGCACGCGGAATCAAGTACCTGCACAGTACAAGTCCTCCAAGAATTCATCGTGATATCAAGTCAGCCAACATGCTGGTCAGTGATAAATGGGTGGTGAAAGTAGCTGACATGGAGACAACACGATTTCTTGCTATTCTACAAGCTAACACTAAGCCAAAGGAGACCTCGCCCAGTGGTGCGAACGGACAAATGGATCGCCCTACACAAACTACATCCTTCACAGGCCAGCAATCTGATCTCCTGACAACACCCCTTCTAGCTACCACAGTGCTCAGTGATGACAGCCATGGCAATACTCAAGACAGGCACAGAGACACAGAGGGTATGACATCGCGTATTGGAATGACGTGTGGAGTAGGCACTGATCGCTGGAGATCACCTGAATCTATCAAGAAGAATCTCTACACGGAGAAACACGATGTTTACAGGTAAGCATCGAGAACAGATTTAGACCCAGACTAATGTTTTTATACAAAAGAAAAGGACCAAGGAACTACAAGTTACGCTATACTGTCCACTAACACCACCAGTTACCAAATAATCAGGTCATGCAATAACATTGCACGACACTGACCGACGGTACTGACGTTCTACAACTAACTGGCTAACAGCGCTAGGACATCTTGGATGCGCACTCCAACAGCCTTCCAACTTGAAAGGTTATAAGTTATGGAAATAACATAAGGAGGGGAAGGTGAGCGCAACCAAGATAAGCACGAGCTGAAAGTCTCAGCTGTGAAGGACGTTGGCGGATGTTCATGCATGTCGATGACGATACTGGCAAGACCATTGGGCAATACGGTCAAACCACGATTCAAGGACGCAAAGCAACATTCCACACAACTTGTGTGGCTCAAGAGATGCGAAGATCAATAAAAGGGGAAGCTATGCGACCAAGAATCATGAAAAACCGAACGCCTCAGTAAAACAGCACTGTACTTCGACTATGACAATTTAGATGGACAACAAGCAGCGGTAATAAGCAGCAGTTTCACACAACGATCGTTTCGCCGTATAGATAAGCACGGCTCATCAGGTGTGCAAGAATGGACTCGGATGGAGAGCCAAGGTCACTGTCGTGCAATGTTATAGATGAGCTGATTGTTTAGTAACTGGTGGTGTTGGTGGGCATTATAGCTTAACTTGTAGTTCCTTGGTCCTTTTCTTTTGTATAAATATATCCTTGGCTCTCCATCCGAATGTTTTATTTTATTTATTTTTAAAGAAGATTCCCGAGAGGCAAAGCCTCTCGAATCCTTCAAGTAATCCAAATACAAAAGCAGAACACTGCTTAGATAGGCAAGCCTGTGAGAGCTCGATCTAATAATTATTTGCATGTATTTAAGCCCAGCCCTGTGGATGTGCAATGTCCACACACAGTGATGAGTTGGGCACCCAAGCACTGGAGGATACGTTGATGTGTTCATCCTTTTTTTCCCCATTGTATTGTGTGTGCTCTATAACAATCATAATTATGTTAAGTGCCCTCCTAGCAAAGGTAAGGTGCTAACCTACCAGGGCTGTAGTGCAGTCACTGCAGTGGCACATCTGAGCACAGTCACTGACACTTCCAAGGTCCAGGAGATTAAAAAAATCTCTACTTTTGCCCAAAAGAGCTGATCTACTGTACATCCAAGCCAAGGTCAAATGACTTGGATGGCATACATGTATGCAGGGTATTAAATACATGTAATAGTCCATTGCACCCCAGAATGGAGTGCTATATCCTTGTGTTCTGTCTTGCCCCCTGGGCCCCCACTCCTAGAATGATCCCTACCTAGCCTGGATTTGCATGGGACATTTTGACCTGTATTAGGAAGTTCCCATGTTGAGCTCAGCCCTAAAACCCCAGCTTCCTCCTACCATGTATGCAGCTTTTAACCACTGGGCCTCTGCCCCACCGAGGTCTAGTCCATCTTGGCTCGAAATATTCCTGGAATCAAATCAGATACGCATGTAAGCATGCCAGGAGTTTCAAGGCATTACACCTGAAACCCCGGGCAAGTTTGAACCTCCGTAATTTTCACATTCTTTGTTTCCTTGCAGTTTTGGTGTGGTGATGTGGGAGCTGAGCACTCGTCAGATACCCTATGGACATCTGCACAACTCAGATGATGTACTTGATGAAATTGCCGGTGGTAGCAAACTGATCTTTCCACCCAGCATCCGCTATGCATATCGTCATCTTGCTGAACAGTGCATCAAGACGGATCTTGAAGAACGACCATCTATGCATCGCGTAGTCCACGAGTTGACCTCACAATTGGATTCCATTTGAATATCACAACGCGGAGTGAGTCATCTACATACATTCGACTTCACTGTAGGATGCTGATGACCAATTGTTTATCTACGTTATACCTTATAGACTTATACTTACTTTTTCTTGCACGGAAGATCAACACCGCCAGGTACTAGTGGGCACACGGCTTTACATTTCTGCCAGACCGTTCTTGATCCACAATGGCAGAATCTGGGTGGGAGCAGAATCCTGCATGCCTCGTCATGTGAATGCCAGCTAGAGAACTGGCCTTGGGAATGTCCCGTAGTAATGCGTTGGTGGATTTGTAACATGTCACCTGGCAGTCTTTTAAAATTCTTCTCACTCTCACAGCGCAGAATCTCAGTACTTCACAAGTAACCCTTTCACAATGAAAAATACCAAAAAAAGAACCCATTCTGTATCTGTGTGGCTTCGACCCTCGGCTCATTCATGCATTCCTATAGCCAGCAGTCGTTCCTATAGCCAGCAGTCGTTCCTATAGCCAGCAGTCGTTCCTATAGCCAGCAGTCGTTCCTATAGCCAGCAGTCGTTCCTATAGCCAGCAGGCATTCCTATAGCCAGCAGTCGTTCCTATAGCCAGCAGTCGTTCCTATAGCCAGCAGTCGTTCCTATAGCCAGCAGTCGTTCCTATAGCCAGCAGTCGTTCCTATAGCCAGCAGTCGTTCCTATAGCCAGCAGTCATTCCTATAGCCAGCAGTCGTTCCTATAGCCAGCAGTCGTTCCTATAGCCAGCAGTCGTTCCACGTATAGGATAGGACATGCTTTTCTAGTCTCAACACAAGTAACAGTTACTACTATTGCATGGCCGCACGTGCTTTCGTTATTTAAAATGTAACACAACTCTCCATGACACTTGCCGACAATACACATTGCACACATGCTTCTTGCACGCCCACACATAACATAGTGCATGGTTGGGATTTTTTTCTGAATCTGATGGGCTAGGTGGAGCGATTTTCCACATCTGACCAGAACCCGCACATCGTACTTATGGTGTATTTTGCATAACTTGCTGCGGTACATTGGCTCACTGCAGCACACACTTCAGACAACGGTGACGGGAGCAACACCGTATGTTGTTTAGCGTGCTCCTGGCTTGATGTACACACTTGATATGCAATGTTCATGAATTTGTTTGAATTTTCTATTTGTTTCTACATGTACATCTCAGGCATTGGCACTTTTATTCTTCACTTTACAAAGAGCAGGCTTCAAATGTTAACTGGTTACATTGCATTAGCAGCAGTTTGTTATTCTTCATCAAATATGTTCATATCAACTTCATCAAGTCAGTCAGGTTTCTGGTATCGATCAGCTGTGTCTGTTTTACAGCGAGTGTAGTCAGAGCAGAGGGTAAATGCCCAGGTCAGGAATGAAGTAAAGGGCAAGCCCTCGGGTCGAGGTATAAAGCAGAGGGCAAATGCCTAGGTCGGGGGATGAAAATAAGGTTAAACAAGACGTGCATCGCTTGCTTGTGATTAACCAGGCCAAGCTAACGGTACAAGCTACCATTTGTTCCGAACATAACAGGGCTATGATGTGGATGCATTCTTGTGTTTGGGAACTGGCAAACTGCATGCTGCCCCAGGCAAAGAGAAGGTACGGAAACTGCATGGCATCATGATACAAACTGCATGGCATCATGATACAAACTGCATGGCATCATGATACAAACTGCATGGCATCATGATACAAACTGCATGGCATCATGATACAAACTGCATTGCATCATGATACAAACTGCATGGCATCATGATACAAACTGCATGGCATCATGATACAAACTGCATGACATCATGATACAAACTGCATTGCATCATGATACAAACTGCATGGCATCATGATACAAACTGCATGACATCATGATACAAACTGCATTGCATCATGATACAAACTGCATGGCATCATGATACAAACTGCATGACATCATGATACAAACTGCATTGCATCATGATACAAACTGCATGGCATCATGATACAGCTTTGGGCAAGATGACGACACGTACACTAGCCAAGTAGATCCTAACAGATGCAGTGGACAAAAGCTTAGCTGTCATACTGCAAGCAATAGCACAAACCTAAGACTTCATTCATCATGATCATGATCCATCATGATTTTGGTGAATGCAAATCCAAGGTGGGTATTACTTGCATTACTCGCTCTCTGTTCAGACATGCTGGCATGTGAAACCAATTTAATCAATCAATGAAGAAATTAAACATGCAATCAGAGTTAGTCCACCATTCTGAAACATGTACACATTAGCAGCATCACCAGTGACCAGCTAGCCAGCTGCCACTAACTTGTAAACGCCGGTGACCGGGTGCCGGGTGTCCAGCGACAGGTGACCAAGATCGATGGTGGACATTCCCACCACCTGGTTGCTGCGAAGTCGTCCATTGCGCTTCCACAGCTCAATCTAAAACCATGGTCGAGGAGCACGTGGAGTGGAGAGATTGAAGTGCGTTAACTTTCTTGTTCGTCTACTTGGCCTAAATGAGGGAGCCAGAGCGCACTGTAAAGGCTGCCCGCAGGTAGAAGTAGTGGAACTTACAGATTGCACCTGCATGATGTTACAAACATGACTATTGCTCAAAAGCAAAAATTATGTGTAAACTGCTACTTGATGACCTGCTTAATGAACGGCATGGTCCAAGCAGCGTAAATCCCTTCGCGGAACTTTGCTGATTGGTCATCTCTAAACGACAAGACTGAACTTATGTTTTTAAAGCCCACTTCACGAATGCCTGCAATTTTTACGAGCACAAGTAAACTCTGGGCTACGCTACATACCCGCAAATGTTGTGCCCGCTTGAGCATGTCCTCGCTCATCATCGGGATTAGCTGAGCGTTAAACTCCGGGGAGACGATCGGCACCACGGGCGCTGTCTTCAGCTTGACGCACTTCTCCGGCACATCCGCAAACACCAAATAGCACTTGACATATATCGCTGCAGCAAGAAAAACGGTAGATTCCAGATGATAATAATTACGTGCATGCTGCTGCTAGATATGCTGGGTGATGCAGTACCTCATCATCTTTCTTTCATTCACATTTTCAAGTTTTTCGCGTCAGGTTTAGCTTGTACTTTCGTCTTTTAAAGCGTGTCTACCATCTTCTTTCGGAAATCTCCTTAAACTTCAACCTGCCTCGTAGAAAGGCTGTCGGTTTGCGCGTGCGGAGATGTGTCCTAGCTAGGTGTCAGGTCTTTCAACGTCTCAGTCTCAGTGCCCCGCGTCAGTTCCGTGCCTAGTAATTGCACCATCCGACTGGTCATAACCGGGTTCAATTGATTGATTGTTGATCATGAGTCATAACCATGGTAACTCGTGTCCACTGGTTTCTTCTCTTCTTTCAAATTTATATCTGCCGCTCACTGTCATCGCTCTCTGCAAGTGAATTCCTTTTTTTGTCTGAAAGGGGCCATGAACTTACAAAACGATGCTCGTTTCTTCTTGGTTATATTGGCCCAGAGGTTGAAGTGGTCGCCTCTCCTGATCTCGATGACGAGAGCCCTCACTGAAGGACCGTCGGCAGCAATCTGAAGCTTCACCTCCAAATTCCCTACCACCATCAGCTCTGTACAGATATGGGTGGACAATATGCAGGAGGACAATATGCAGGAGGACATTATGCAGGAGGACATTATGCAGGACATTATGCAGGAGGACATTGTGTAGGTGGACAATATACAGGCGAAGAGGATACGTTTCATGCTCTTTGACTTTACTGTCACTGATAGAGCGTCGTAATGCATTGCCATGGCGAGCACAGTAGACAGTGCATCCAAACTCTTGTTGCTGTTGTTCTCTCCAATACCAAAGGATAAAGGTGTGTGGGTGACAGATAGTCGTGGGTTCAACGGCGTGGCAGCTCACATGGGGCACTTCAGTACACTGGCAGGGTTAAGGCCACTACCCTCAGCTTCTGCAAAAAATGAAGGGAAAGAGTGGAGAAACCGTTTTTGGTTGGGATCTTGCCACTCGTGTTCAGTGCCAAAGGGGATAGGGTTCTGTCCAAAAGTCATAGAGGTGTGTTTCTGTCATCACAAAATCTAAATCTAAAAAAAGCTCTAGCTCAGATTTTCGTACCTGAGGCTGAGGATTCATCGATCACTTGACCTGGCCCTAGGTCATTCAACTGCAGCGACTTGTCCCGCGCTGCCACATGCTGCCTAATATGCAACAACACAAAGTACCGCAGTAAGGCAAATTCGACCAGCACTGCAGGTTCCAAGACTGCCGCTATCGTCAGGCTACATTTGCCTACAGGCAGGACCCTGGGAACCGGTTGCGGCAGTCGCAAAGAAACTTCTTACTTCGAAGTACGTTTATGATAATGCATGGGCGTCAAAGCTTGCCCAATACTCTGGCCGTTTTTTTGCTCCCCAGTCACCCAAATATAGAATTACTGGGTTAAACAAAAACTTCAATATGGCAATCAAGTGTACTAACTGTGCGGTGACCATGCTCTATTACAATACCTGTAGTAACGAACATTGTTCATGTAACATGGTTGCCACACAGTTACAAGAATAGTAGTACTGTTGATTGCAATATAATTTTTATCCTGCAAGGGTGGCAAATGCCCCCAAACGGCACAATGGGGGGGGGGGGGGTAAACTTTTCAAAAATTCCCAGGGGAGATCCAAGGACCCCCTGCTACCATGCGTCTTCTGGTAAAGGCGGTCCAACCGAAAATAGCTTCCGATGGCCATGCCGCAATGGCAACAAGAAATCCAGGGAGCCCAAATCCATGTGAACCGCCACGTATCCCCACAACTCTAAAAGACGGATTCAGGGAATTTCCCGTAATAAACTGTCCTGTGAACCAGGTCAACCCAAGCTGACAAATTGCCCCTTCCTGGTCATGTAGGCCGCTGTAGTCTGATCAACAGTGGAGAATGCAGGAGTTGGCGCGGACTACAGTTAAACTCCCCTAACCCGGGCAGATTGGGTGCGAGCACTGCCCATAACTAGAAATTGCCCGCAACTCAGAGTGTACATTGTACTTAGTGCATGCAAGTAAACATTTACATGCCAATCAATAGTTTTTTGGGGCCTTTTTCGTTGAAAACCCATTTTTGTGACTTTAGACGGGTCAGAAAAGTGCCCCGTAGACACGGACATACCCAGATTAGGGCATCCGGATTAGGGGAGTTTTGCTGTATTCACAAACTGATATGTTAAAGGAAAGAGAGAGCGTGTGTACGTGTACATGTCGGCACGTGTGTGTCACTCTGTGTGTGTGTGTGTGTGTGTGTGTGTGTGTGTGTGTGTGTGTGTGTGTGTGTGTGTGTGTGTGTGTGTGTGTGTGTGTGTGTCCCATATGGTGCAGTGGTATGTGCAGCGATTTCCAATCGATAGGTTGCGGGTTCGATTCCCGACGATTATGGTCACACACGTCTTTCTTCTCTTTCTCAGACTCTTCCTGACTTTTCTTTCATTCTCCTGGGTGGTTACCAACAGCCAGTGCATGCCGGAGTATGTGGTGTGATGTGTGTGCGTGAAAAAAATAAAAAAGACCAAAAAGTAGGGATTCACTGGCCAGAAAAAGCCACTTCATAGCTGTGTGGTGTAGACCAGGCTGAATATTGGCGGCCAATTCTTCAGCCTTGCAAGCTGTTGAATGGTGCAATCCCAGCACAAGTTGCTATGGCTTCTGCTGTAGCATCGCTATCATCGCCTCCGGCGATGGGCGTCCAATGGTCCAATGGTCCAATGGTCCAATGGTGTGTGTGTGTGTGTGTGTGTGTACGTGTGTGCGTGCATGCAGCCGTGCGCGTATGTGTGCTTTGAGTTTCAGTTCACGATCTCACAGAATACTCGCACATTGCAGAGTCCTTACACTTCCATCGCGCTTTCACTTGTGTAGCCCTCGTGCGCTTGCCTTTCGAATTTCAGTGGCCGGGTGACTTCAATAATCCTTGAGTGTGAAGTCCAGGACCAGAGCTACCCTGTGCACAATGGGCATGTAGCGTCACGCTGTCCGTCCTTCGCCGCCCACCTATATCCGCAATGATTACCCGCGCACGCGTGGCTCACGGCTGGGTTGTTTCGCCACCCGTCGTATCGTCGTTGAGCCGGTGATCTACCGATAAGGGTCCCGTCACCACTCTCATAACGACATAATCGGTGGCTAGCCTGTCGTATCTGCTGTTCTATTCTGTCAGCACTCGACGTAATTACTAATGTAATGCAACGACATCAACATGGGGTCGCTAGTAGCACACCTAACCAGCATGGAGTTGAATGTTCACTGTTATGAAGTCCAGACATCCACGCTCTATTTCGGCTGCGGACGGCCGGAGTGGCACTGGCAGAGCTAGAGAGAATCGGAAAGTAACACGTCGTGTAGTTAGTTTCCTGAACTCAAAAAGTAAGAAATAATTATCATGATGACCATGATGACTGTGCTGAGACTTCAGTTCACAGTCAGAACACTGAACAGCACTTGGCTGCTTGCCCATTTTTTCTGCAGTGCATGCTGCCGGCCTGCAGAGTACAGTGCTCCAAGAAGGTCTTATCTGCCCAGGGAACAATCTAGCCTTCCGCCCGGCGGGTGTGGAATAAACACTGCATGCGGAGCCTGTACTGATCATGCTGATTCTGAACGATCGGTGAATCTTGTTATGTTTGCGAACAGACCAGTGCCTGATCTAGCTGACTAGGAGGAGTCATCACCGCATCAGTTCGCATGTCTCACGCGACGAGAAAACTCAGAAAAAAACTTCGCGCACTATTTAGTATAAAGCTACTGTAGTGTAGACTTGTTGTTGTAGTAGTAGTAGCTTGGCGGGTGAACCACGAAGTACTAGTAGTAGTAGTGAACATGGTATAAAGGGGCCGTCCGTAAATATCGATGTTTTTTTAGAGACGATATTGGTGCTTCTCTCCCTTGACCCCCTCCCCCCAGAAGACGCACATGTACGTACATCTAGATCATGGAATCAATATTTTTGGATGCTCATTTTTTTTCCTTTTTTGGCAATAATATGAACCCTGGCTGCTCTCTTGGGCCGCTTTCCATTTGCCAACCTCAGCAACGAACTCGCGGACACCGGCTTCATTGTCCTTTAGACTACTCCATTTTGCCTGCGCTTGTCGAACAACATCTGCACGGACTGCGCCATCACCATAACGTTCCACGAACGCATCAATGAACTCTTCGCATGAAGAGGGATTCGACTTTTTGTAAATTCCTGTATCGACTACACAACCCCCAAACAACGTCAACTGTTTCGTTTTCCGTTTCTTGGGCGGTGGTGAAGACGACATTTTCACAGCTAACCTGTCACTTTGCCATGGCCATGCGGTTCACAACTTCCTCAACTTCTCTCTCGACAAAGAACAAACTTCAGGCACGGCCAGTCAAAATTCACATTTTACATGAAAAGATGAGGGCGCTGGCGCGCTAGCGCTACCCGTGCAGTACAACTCATCGTACAAAAAGCGTTCAAAGTGCAACTCATCGTGTACTGGTGTAGCCAAAGGCTGTGTTTACATGAGAAATTTCAACCCGGGTCGAGTTCAGCCCGGGTTGAAAGTCTGTACGATAGACAAAAGAGGTGAGCGTTTACATGAAGACAGTTGACCCGGGTCAAATACTGATATGCCGCCAAAAGTCCACTTCTACAGTCCTCTATGGTCACGTGAATCCGTTCGCGCGAAATTTGCATGTGCAGTGCTGTTCAAACCTGGCGCGAGATACGCACAGAAGTACGTTTGTACGATTTTCTTGACCCGGGTTGGTTTCAACCCTCCCCTTGGGCTGTGTTTACATGAGAAATTTCAACCCGGGTCGAGTTCAGCCCGGGTTGAAAGTCTGTACGATAGACAAAAGAGGTGAGCGTTTACATGAAGACAGTTGACCCGGGTCAAATACTGATATGCCGCCAAAAGTCCACTTCTACAGTCCTGTATGGTCACGTGAATCCGTTCGCGCGAAATGTGCATCTGCAGTGCCGTTCAAACCTGGCGCGAGATACGCACAGAAGTACGTTTGTACGATTTTCTTGACCCGGGTTGATTTCAACCCTCCCCTTGGGGGGAGGGTTGAAATCAACCCGGGGCGAAATTTCAACCCGGGTCAAGCGCAATGCGTCATGTAAACGCGCCATTCACTTTGTGCACATGGGGGGTTGAAATCTGACCCGGGTCGAACTCAACCCGGGTTGAAACGCTTCATGTAAACACAGCCTTGGTTAATTGGGGGGAGGGTTGAAATCAACCCGGGGCGAAATTTCAACCCGGGTCAAGCGCAATGCGTCATGTAAACGCGCCATTCACTTTGTGCACATGGGGGGTTGAAATCTGACCCGGGTCGAACTCAACCCGGGTTGAAACGCCTCATGTAAACACAGCCAAAGGCTTTGGCTAAAAAATTCAAGCCCAAGCGTAGCCGCTTTGAAAGCGGCTACGCTCGGGCTTGAATTTTTTAAAATCCTTGTTCAGACAGTGAAGACTGTAAACTCTTGTGGAGTTCGTCCGTGTTTGTTCGCACTGCCTCTACGTCTTGAAAAAGGTCTCCTGCAGGCATCGTTCGGCCGATTTCCACAATCAATAGCTCATTCTTTTGCTCTTGAAATTCGCCATGGGCGTACAGCTTCCAATTTTTGATTTTGTTCTTGTGTCGCGAGTTTTAGCTCCGCGAACGGAAGCTGGTTTCACATTTCTTGTATAGCCATTTAGACGTCCACGTGCAGGGATCGGCGAAACTTCAGATATTTACATCGATATTTTTCTGATGCTCGAAAAGACGCACATGGCTCAAACCCCCTCCCCCCCCCCCAGACGCACCAATATCGTCTCTAAAAAAACATCGATATTTACGGACGGCCCCTAACGAGACTGTGCACATAATCATTGTAGCTAGCTCACGGATACGACTTGTCGAGGTCACAGTACAGGATCTAGGAACACTAAAATATTTTTACTCTTGCTGGTATGGGAATAAGGAGGACGAGCTGAAGTCCTTCTTGCCATAATTACCTGTAAAATTGTTGTCTCCTCGACGGTCGAAGCTACAGGTCACGCTATAATATCCACTAACAAACACCACCAGTTACTTTACAATCAGTTCATGCGATAACATTGCACGACACTGACCAACGGTACTGACGTTCTACAACTACTTCGAAGTAGCTGGCAATCAACTCAAGCACATATTGGATGGAAGGTTCTAAGTTCTAAGTTTAGTTTAGATATATTTAATATAGAAATAACATAAGGAGGAGAGGGTGAGCGCAACCAAGACAAGCATGAGCTGAAAGTCTCAGCTGTGAAGGACGATGGCGGATGTACATGTTGTCCAATGTATGTCGAGGACGATCACTGACAAGACCATCACTTGTCAGACAAGACGGTCAAACCACAAGGACGCATAGCAACATACCACACAACAACTTGTGTGGCTCTAAAGATTCGAAAATCGATTGGAGAGAGGAAGGTGAGCGAACTTCCAAGCTGGAAGGCTGTTGGAGTGCGAATCCAAGATGTGCTAGAGCTGATTGCCAGTTAGTTGTAGAACGTCAGTACCGTTGGTCAGTGTCGTGCAATGTTATCGCATGAACTGATTGTAAAGTATTACTGGTACATGGTGGTGTTAGTGGATATTATAGCGTAACTAAAATTACTTTTAGCTCTTTGGTCCTCTTTTCTTCTTATAAGTACTTCAGTAATAGTTATAAATATTTTAATCCTTGGCTCTTCACCCTACTCCCTAGTCTAACTCTTGCTAGTCTTGGTACTACCATGACTACTGTCTACATCGACAATATCCTCGCAAGAACAGTCAACACCTCACCCTCTCTCGCTACGCGTAGATCTACGGGTGCTAGCTAGGCATTGGCTACTGCACCTACCGCCGCGGTATGGTGTGGCCTGGCACAAGGAAATGTAGCGCCGTTCGCTGTGTTTCTCAACCGGGTGACCATGGTGACGCGAGCTGGATATGCTAACTGTTACTTCAAATGGTTTACTTTGACGTCTCAGACTCAGGTCAGGGAGCCTTTTCCCCCAACTACTTCCTCCTGACCCTTTCCCCTAAATCATGTACACCACAGGCATGGTCAAAACATGTGACGTCATGTCTGACTGAGCATGAGGCTCAGCCGCCCTCACCATGCTCACGGCCTCAGCCTCGGGGCTGGGGCTCAGCGAAGCCAGTATTTGTGAACACCTCTTTTCGTGTCTAGCATGATTCGTCGACGCTATCGCCTGGGAATTTCGACATCAAACTGACACAATCATTGTAACGATTGAAATACATGTGCAGTGTACACTGTACTCGCGGCTTTTCAAAAAACTTCGGCGCATATATTCAGAAAATATTCCAGATGCCGAGTCTTTCGGGCCGGGGCACCTACATGTACCTCCCCCTCACCTCCCCTGGTTTGACATTATGCCCCCCCCCCCCCCCCCACAAGCAGTCGGACTCTACATTGTACTCTGCCACATTGAATGCAGACCCAACCTCTCAGTCTCACCCAGATTCAGGATCACTTAGCCCTGTGAGGTACTGTCTTCACCAGGGAATACTCCCTGGTCTACACACCACACCGCTGCACAAACAACCGCAGGTGGAAATGACAATCACGTGATGCATAATTATCTACCAGCTGCTAGGTACATAGTCGGTACATGTAAATGTACTAGGTAAGCAGTTGCCATGGTTACCATGGGTACACTGACTATATATGTAGCAGTGAAGGGCCAGTGCATGAATGAGAATACCCAGTGGATACACACATTGTACAGATATTGAAACCCAGAGCAGAAATTAAAGTGCACGACTGATGGGAACTGCGACGACGATAACGGCATTTTAGCAGTGAGCATCAATGCAGTGTTCACGAATTCTCAAGTCATGTACCGTACGCGCTCGTGCACACGCAAGCCGATAGCAAAACGAAACAAAAAACGCCTTTAAAATGTTTTAAATCAATTACCACTAGCAGGCTGTGCAGCTGAACTCTGCTGAGAAGCTGTACATATTACTGTTGAGGCCGTAACGAACTAAAACAAATCAAAAACAAACAAAAGCAAAAATAGGGCTAAAACGAAACTCGTGCGTGCCAGCTTTCATTCATACATGCCTACAAGGCTATGTAAAGTGTAGATACCAGTGGGCGTGCAGCAAGTGTCAATCGCCAAAACCGAATAGATCACCTAAAGAAATCGGGTAAATGCGTACTAGGAGCAGAGGCCATGGCGATTCAGTTCCTCTCCACCTCACTGAATTTCACAGCTTTACAGTGCGCGGCAGTTTGATACGATGCCGGGACAGCCTAGAGTTATCAATAATATCATCGCGGCTCCATGCAGTGGGTGTCATTCAAGATTGCTGGCTAGCGTATCTCCAGTCATCCTGCGTGCTCTCTTTACTGACACTCTAGACCGTCTCGAGACGTTCTCTCAGCTCCTGAGGATCCACCTGAGTGGAGAGGTGAGCGCTAGAATTGCCACCATCAACGCTGGCTGGCGGCTGGCGCGAGGCGCGCAGCGAAGCGTACGGGCTCACCACGCCCGAGACGGCCTTGCCGGGCTTCATGAGAGCGTAAACGCCGGTGATGGGACCCTTATTCTCCAGGTCCAAGCTCTGAATGTCAATGGAGGCGGTACCAACGGCGATGTTCTTCCGCAGCTTGCCATTGTGCTCCCAAAGTTGCACCTATAGGCAACATCAACAACAGCAGCAGCAACAACAACAGCAACAGCAGCAGCAGCAGCAACAGCAGCAGCAACAGCGGTAACAGCAGCAGTGACAGCAGCAGCATCCAGGTCACAGAGAAATCAAAAATCAACAGTGAAGCTACAATGGTGTGAAATGAATAGAGTAGAGCGGTGTTCAGTGGACAGGAGCTCAGACTTTGCAATGCAACTAGGGGCATGCATCCCTGGGAAAGGCATGTCCATTAGGCTGGATTTCACACTGCGTAGTCGTACACAATCAGCAACGTCGTCCTTCAAGCGCTTGTCACTGAACTACGCACACGTATACGTCAGGGATGATCGATACGCACCTCATCAAAAAAATGTAAAGGCATGTGCTCGTCTCACATGGTCAAGTAAGAATATTATTGCGCACATGCCCCTTAACCCTAAAAACGTCAAGCCAATACTATGAATGCCAATCGTAACAGGGTATTTGGTGAGAAGTGCATGTGGCAGGGGATGTGACTTGCCTTCTAGTGTATATATTCCCGAGAGCATGGTGCATAGCAAAGAGTAGAGTACACTTACCCGCAGGTACTGTGCACGCTTCATCATCTGCTTGCTCATGACCGGAATCATCTGATCATCAAACGTGGGACTGGCACTGGGCAGTACCAGTGAGGTCTTCATCTTCACACTCTTCTCGGGCATGTTGGGAAAGACCAGGTAGCACTTCACGTAGATAGCTGCAACAGAGGATCACACCGGGTACTGAGTAGATAAAAAGCGAAACATTTGCTAAGCAACCACCTCAATAGGACGCTGCCTGTCATGAGAAACCCATAATCTCATGGCCCAGACCGTGGCATACCTCAGCTTACGTTCCAGCCTGTTCAGAAAGACCACCTGCATACGGAGCGGCTTTGTTGCACCATAGGATGGCTGCTAAAGACAGGCTTCACTATACAGTATACACACCTTACTATTCATTATGTCATGACCATGTCGAACATAACACCGGTGGCAGGATACGCTGTCGGGGTCCCGGCGTTGAAGCACTCATTCTCTAAACATCACGGACTGGTACTAAGCACTGCTGGTGTAAAGTGATAACCACTGGCCTGTCATACAATGGGGCTTCAAAGTTCTACATTACAGCCAGGCCAGCATCGCAAGACTGACTTTCGGATTCGCTTTGGATCCAGTTTTCTTATGGATTGATACAGTGGTTTTTTTCACAGTGGGGTGAAGCATCTGCTGGTAGTGACAGGACTGGGCCCTCACAGTCAAGGATCCGCTCCTGGTAAAGAAAAAAATCATGCCTGTATGCGACATGAGGGGCCAGCCCACCATATGCAGTACTTCGCTATGTTCAGAGTGGATCCAAAATAACCCAGAAGTAGTTATTTGTTGACTTTTGAAGTCATCACCTTCAAGCCCTATCCCAAAGACTTAACTTGATCACCAGTTGGGGTTTGAAATTAAAGTGAGCACGAAGCTACTACGTACAGAATCCCGGCTTGCTGCCCACATTTTGCCAGCGGCTAAGGTCCATTCCTCGCTTCACATCAACAATGAGGCCGATCTTGTCCGGACCATCCGCGCCGAGGTGAAGAACCATTTGCAGTTTGCCAACTTCTTCAAACCCTAGTCAATGGAAGAAACATTGAGGGTGAAGAAAAACACAATTACTTGCCATGGGGGGAGGGTGGACCAGTCATGTTGGAGGAATGCAAACACGGAGATACCTACCAGATAAGTATGGCAAATGCATGGCTAGTGGAACACAGTGAACGCAAATGTTTGGAGACCATAGAATATTCTCCTTGCTATTGGAACTTTGTGTTGGTCCAAGACAGTACTTGTATGTATAGCAGCAAAATGATGCTATCCACATCCATCCATCCTAACTGGGGCAAGCTTCACTTAACACAGGTTGCAAACTGTTTACTTTTTGTATCGATCCCTGGGAGCACCGTCATCCACATGTCAATAAACGCGCGCACGCACACACACACACACACACACAAACGCACACACACGCGCACGCACACATACACACAAAAACGGCTGCAGTGCTGGACATTGAAATTATTTCCCCATACTCTATAGGCCCGGGGTCCCGCGCTCTGCCCCGAGCAGAATGGCCCTCGGTGACCCAAGCTTACACAGCTCGGCTTGTGTTGATGCACGTGAAGTCAAAAGCAATAATTATGCGATGCTGAACCCAAGCCAGGGGTGATATTCACTGACCAACACGAACCCGCACATGCCTTAACCATAGCCGGTCTCTGTGAGATCTCCGTGCACACCCATGAGACAGCCAATGATGAGCTTGAGTACTGTAATTTCACAAATTTTCGGTGTACTTTTATTTTCGGTGCTTTCGGTGCGTCTGTTTCATACCTAAACGTTTCATACCTAAAATTTCAAGACACCGAACAAACACTAACACACATAATCCAATAGGGAACTGCTTCTCTGTACCGAAAATTTCTGTTCACCTTACCTAGTCTGTTGCCCTCAAACCGAAAATATTGAGCACCGAAAACTTCTGAAATTAGAGTATACTGAAAACCGCCAGCAAATACAACCGTACATGTGGCTCCTACAATGTAGGTGCCATCACAGCTTGCAATAGCTGCAATAGGGCAGAGCGGATCGGAAAGCACGCCACAACTTTCCGGGGCCTATCATCCATCACAGAAACTGACCATACAAAGAGTAAAGCAGGGTTACAAGGTATCATCTGCCTACCTCCCGTGTCTGACATGACTTGTCCAGGACCAAGTTGGAAGTCATCCTCCATAGGCGTGTCTGGGTCCTCCGGCCTGGACAGTAGAACAAGTACATAGAGTCACGCGTCACTTCCCGTGTATCCGGAGCATTGCCATAAACCGTGTGCAACCGTACTTGCATCTAGCTGCACACAATAATAATGATCCTTATCGGCATATGTAGTGTTATCGTGTACGTGTGCATACCCGCTGTGGAGCAAGAGACTGGAAGGCACCAGAATGTTATCCAACACCGCCACCGGAAAAAGGAATGTTTAGAACCAGTGAGGCGTATGTGGTAAATCCAACCTACTGTACGTGCAATGCTGTCCATTGCGACTATGCTAGAAACTAGGCATGGTATGAAGCCAGTTCAAGAGGCTCAGAATAGACCTTACTCTTCAGTCTCATTGTCTGCTTGACTCGCTGCACCGATATCACCAGGATCTAAACGTTAGGAGCAAAACAAAACAAAACAGTGCAACCGTACTGTAGATGAAAAGCACATGAACCGCTGCAACGTTTAACATCTGAGCCACGCTATACTATACGTAAGGGTCTGCCAGGCACATACACTATGTGGGGAAGTAAGTCAGACTGGCAGTGTACTGCCAGGTACGAGCTGCAGTTCTTCTGTTGTACTCCCTACTGACTGGAAACGTAGCTGCAGTTCTTCTGTTGTACTCCCTACTGACTGGAAACGTAGCTGCAGTGCTGCTCACTGAAATCCAGTCACGACACTCAAGTACACGTCGCGCGTTGCGCAGCCCTAGACCTGTGAGCGCTGGGCTGAGAAATGATGCAAGGCGCAAACTTGAGTGACGCGATTCAGTGCATTTCACTGAGTAGCACTGTAGAGTACACACTGGTCGCACCTGAAACAAGGCTGCAGGAGCCTATACCAACTACAATACAGTTCTGCGAAAAGAAAGCTGCAGTACAATGAATGTGGCTGGTGCAGCGGTGGCACCTGAAATCCAACCCCTGCTCGGTGTGCTCGCATTGCAAAAAAAACAGCAGCACGCGCTTGTAACACTACGAAATAGAGACTGCTAGAGTCGATGCTGCACTCGAGCACGGAAATAAGGGTGTGTCGGATTTCAGTTGCCATCACTGTAGGTATGTGTGGTACCTTCTTGCTCTGCCGGCCTTTCCTGCATGGCTGCAACCAGTGGTGTCATCACGGCGCCGGCCACGACTGCCGATGGTTGGCCTCCGTCCACTTCGTCCCTATCCTTCACAGGTTCGCTGGGCACCGCTTCTGGTTCCGGAACAGGCTCAACCTCGACCGCGGTCACTGGCTCGATCACTTCAGGCTCCTCGACCACGGCGTTTCTCTCCGTGTTGTCAACCACAGTAGCCGCAGCTGATGTTGTTGGTGACGGTGTGCGGACTTTCTAAACCGATACGACAAGGCAGATGCACAATACGAGCACAAGAAACAGCACACATGTAGATGACATCACAGGTACATGTATAGTGCATTCCTGAAGATTACATCATAAATATACTTCATTCCTTTTGATGACATCACAACTATATTGTAAGTAAGAAGATAGAAGGTAGTGTGACAGACTGTACCATGAAGGAAGATGTTCAGAGTTCACAAAGTAATAACGATCCCTCAAGCATGGAGTCCGATGAACATGGAGCTGAGTTGACAACCTTCCAAACTCTACCAACAAGGCATAGCACCTATACTGTAGCACACTATAAAAATATAACGTTACTCAGCCTAAATATAGTCTGGTAAAAATCATGTCACGCTACTAGTTAGTGTGTCTCTGGTGCGATGACCTATCCACTTGTTCTAGATTGTCCACCGTGGGCTTCTATAGGCCATGCAGCATGGACTGGCGGACTGTGCATGCTAGTGAGGAGCGAACGGCAATGTAAGCACATCCACAAGTACTGAATTTGTATCCCATCTCGGCGCTACCATCACAGACCCTGGAACAGCACATAACATTTCGAGCACGAGCACACGCATCATGCATTCCCCCCCCCCCCCCCCCCCACCCCACCACCACCACACACACATGAGCCTACATATAGTGCACACTACACACATGCACACACAAGCACACACGCCTGCTCATACCGACGGTGATGGCTTCTCGACCGCGGCGGGATCGAGTGCGCCTGCCTTCTCCAGTAGCTGGTTACAGGTGTTGAGCATTTCATCCATGTCCACGCCATTGTACCAGCGTCCAGTCACGGAGAGGCCTTTGCGACGCTTCATACATGCTGCGCACATGTAGATCTGACCGGAAAGCAGGTAGAATGTTCATGAACACAATAAATTCCAAGTCCAAGGGGTACAGGCATAATCAAACCTGGCCAAGTATCTGCATCTACCTAACCGGAGGACTCCGCTCTCTGTAAGCTACATCAGCAACAGCTTACTGGAATACTTGCCACCAGAGCGGGGGGGGGGGGGGGGGGGGGGGGTGGTATCACAAATCACAATGCGATCCACCTCTAGAAATACATGATGCCTTAATGACCAGCCACTAACATGGCATCATAAACGACTATGCAATTGGCTGCGCGTGACTTCCTTGGAGTAGAATGTAAAGGGCGTTCTTTGCTCACAATGCATGTTTCTGAATCCCAGAATACACTGTGTTCCTTCCGATGGCCACCTACCGTCTCCTCGCTGTTCACTTGCTGTGTTGCGTGGCATGTTGTAGCCAAGTTGCAGGATTCGCAGACTTCAAAGGTCGTGGCAACGTCCACATAATCGGTGTCTTCGCTATCAGGACTGGCATACGTTCGATCCAGCTCTTGCTGTACATTTCTGCACAAAAGAGGATACAGTCCAGTTCGGCAGGGAAGCATATCCTTATCTAAGCAATGAGTCATACATGTTTGGCCAAGAATATACTACAACTTTTAACAGACTGGAGCTACAAAAACACAATGCTTAAATTGAACTGCAAAACTACAATGCATAGAATTGCAATGCATAAAATTGCAATATATGATCTCACAGTATAGGTTGGCATGTCTGTAGCTAAAACTGGTACACACTACTGCACACCAGTTTTTGGGTGGCAGATAGAGTTCCCAGCTGATAACGGCATGTGTACAAACATTTCTACCCCGACAATACAAAATGGATTTTTCTGAAGAAAGATTCACCATAATTATAACTTCCACCGGGGCATGCGACATGCTCATGAAAAACTGCAACTATGGAATAGGATTCACAAAAGCTTTGACTTTTATGTGTCATTGTGAGGTAACTGGCCGGAAAGGGGAGAGAGAGAGAGAGAGAGAGAGAGAGAGAGAGAGAGAGAGAGAGAGAGAGAGAGAGAGAGAGAGAGAGAGAGAGAGAGAGAGAGAGAGAGAGAGAGAGAGAGAGAGAGAGAGAGAGAGAGAGAGAGAGAGAGAGAGAGAGAGAGAGAGAGAGAGAGAGAGAGAGAGAGAGAGCGAGGGAGGGAGGGAGGGAGAGAGACAGAGAGAGAGAGAGTGTGAGGGAGGGAGGGAGAGAGACAGAGAGATTGAGGGAGAGAGAGAGAGAGAGAGAGAGAGAGAGAGAGAGAGAGAGAGAGAAGAGAGAGAGAGAGAGAGAGAGAGAGAGAGAGAGAGAGAAGAGAGAGAGAGAGAGAGAGAGAGAGAGAGAGAGAGAGATCTCCCTAGCAGGAATAGGACTTCTACTATGGCCAGAGCCTTTTGTACCGTTCCTTTGTTTTGTTTTCGGTGCGGATTTACCAGAACATACTCCAGCGTTACTTGCAATTTGCAAAGGTTAAACTTTCCTCAGATTGAGTGTCAGAAACCTTGCAATTGTATGCGACAGCAAGCGACAGTACAGTGCTTCTTGTCACCACGGTTGCAAAATGTGTCGCCAAAGGTCAAAAAGTGGTATTGTGAATCATGCTTTGCACAGACATGAATGCTTACACGGTGATGATATAGCCGCCCGTGCCATGCATGCACGAAGTGTTGCACATCTATTCGGTAGGATTGCTATCTCTTAATTTGCTAAATCCTATATATAGGATTTTGGTCATATTTTTCAACTCAAAATGGGTGTGGCATGAGCATAGGGAAACGTATGTGACCAATTCTTCCGCGTTAGGTCTTAGTCGATATGGAGAGTTGAATAAGATATTTTTTTCAAATACTTTGGTTTGGTTTGGTTTTTATTATTTCAGTTCGTTGCCTCAACAGTACAAAGTACAAATATCAAGAGGGACGACGAAAAGAGAAAATAAAACAGAGCAGAGAGGAAGATGCAACTGAAAGGAAAGAAAAACGGAGAAGGAATGTGGACTGGGCGGATTCATGAACCATTACTAGAGCAGGGCAACGCATGAACAGAAGGGGCAAGTCCGTCGATATTCATGTTTAAAAAATTCCAAGCCTTATTTTATTGGTGAAATACATTTTCAAAAAGGAGGGGATATAGGGATATAGTCAATTTGTCGTCATTTAGAGCGTGCAAAAGTTCTGTAGAAAATGATCTAATGTCCTCACTTCCTTTCAAGTGAGCAGGGAGGGCATTCCACATAAGGGATGCTCTGGAGGAAAAGGAATTGTACCCTACCATGGATTTATACAAGCAAATTGACAAATTGTTTGTTGTAGTTCCACGAGTTGACCGCTTAGAGGTGGGCAAAGGGAAAAGACTGCGTAAGCATGATGCAGGCTGAACAATATGACAAATAAACGTAGACGTAAGAAATTGATAAATGTATCGATATTCAAGGTGTTTTATTTGAAGAGAAGCAAGAAGGGGTGGTACAGCATCATAATATGAAGCACCGCAGGTAACTCGTACAGCTCTACGAAACAAGGTAAACAATCTCTCCCTGGACTGTGCTGATAGGTGGGATGCGTAAACAGGGAAACAATACTCAAAGTCGGGATGAATCACACTATGCAGGTACTGGCGACGGGCAAATGCTGCCATTTGGCGGAAGGTGCGTCGCAACGCGCCTATCTTGCGTGACACCTTGCTGGTGAGGTGATCTACGTGTGGAACAAATGAGAGCTTGTTATCGATACTAACATCTAAGGCTCATATCCTTGCGCAATATTTCTAAGGCCTGTGCCCCATTTTTCGAATCCTATATATAGGATTTGAGATTTTACTGGACCTTGTTTTATCCTTAAAATTGGTAATTTCACGACGGCATGTGCGATATGTCGTCATGAAACCACCCCGTGCCACACCTGTAATGTTCTTTTGCACATTCACTGCTTCAGTCCTTCCCATGACACCAGCTGAACAATGCTGCTCAAAATTCCAATCCTTTCTCAAAATGGGTATTCATGATATCCTATGAATCTAAAAAGTAAAACATTCATGCCTCAAACATATTTACAGCTTCTAATAAAACCATTATGTTCTTATTATGGTTCATGAATGACTCACGATGACCAATAACAACGGCATAAAGGTCACGCATTTTCAAATCCTATATATAGGACTTTTGCCCAGCAAATTAAGAGATAGTCCGCAAATTTACATCACTTTAACAGCTCGACTGTGGCCACACAGCTACGTGTATACAAGTGAGTACAATTGGCGCCAGTGGACAAGTGATCTACACTTTGCACAACAACGGCAATGAACAAATCTCCTGGTGAGCAAGACATGGATTGCAAACTGTGCTGAAGCAATTTTCAGGCTGTACTGCACCATTGCCCCAGAGCACACACGGGTTGTAAGAGGACTGCCCCTAGAGAGTGACCAGTACATAAGGCGATGTTTGCGCCACCCCAAGTGAGTGAAGCATCATGCACTCAGGCCCAGCGTAAGACTACAACCAAAAGTAAAATACATGCACACAATTTGTCTTAGTGTGCCCTGGGCAGGAACATAGCATGCCACATGTATGCACCAGCTCACAACATAAGTATTGCCCTTGGCAATAAGCCACTACGGTACTCTCTTCAATTATGCTAGTTTTACCGCACTTTACACCGTAAGTTGGCTCATCACTTCTCAAAATTGCTTCCAACAATCTTCCGCCCGACGTCAAAGATGTTTCTATCAGTAACCCTGCCCAGCCTGTACTACAAGTATTCGATGGTAACAGGTACTGAGTTAGTCTTTTTATGCTCTGTACAGACCACCCACTACGTGCATGTACGTGCAACGAAACGTTGCCCCTGTCGGGCACTTGCTTGTGATATTTACCACCTTACTCTCGCTGCTAGGCGCTGCATCTGCCACCCAGGTATACAGCAGGCATGGCGGTGGCATGGTAAGGGGCCGTCCGTAAGTATCGATACTTTTTTCAAGACGATATTTGTTCATTCCCCCCAGACCCCTCCCTCCCCCCTCAAAATGAACATACACATGTTTATGCAGTGGATCGATATTTTTTAATGGAGTGCAATCTCCTCATGAAACGTGACCAGCTGCAACTCTAAATTCACCATACACCTAGGTTAAAACCGTTGCCACGGTCGCACAACATTGGCGTGGCTATGTTCGTGTGTTCATGAGGTCGACTTTCACTTTGTGTAGGTCATAAACTACATGTTTGCACAGTGCCCGTCCATAGATAGAATTCGATATTTTTTTCACAAAGACGAGACGAACAGGGCCCAAACCCCCTCCCCCCCCCCCCCCAAACGAACGAATATCTTCTCTAAAAAAACATCGATATTTGTGGACGACCCTTAATACGGCAAAACTTCCCAAGCTGGTTATGTTTATAAGCAAGATTGTATAGCCGGTGGTAACTCGGACATGTACACGCTAACTTTATCTTAACATGCAGCTGAACACCAGACAGCACATGCAATAAAGTTAGTCTAACTGTCTAGCTGTAATACAGATCTCCCATGCATGCTGGCTGTTCTGTCAGTCTGTGCTAACAAGACACACGTTTGCACGAAGTTCGAAATCATGCCAACAGTCCACCAACATTGCCACAATCACAGGCAACACCAATCTACCGGTGAATAGCACAGTGTGCACTGCAGTCTGCCTGTAACGTAAGCCCAGGATGCACCGGCTCTTTCTTGCTTTCTTGCCCGTTGCAACCAAACACTGTAAGCAGGAACTACAGGGTCAGTCAGCCTTGCAAAAAGGTGCACATATATAGTATGAAAATAATCAAAACTGATAAGCCAGGGAAACTCCTGTCTGTAATGCTGGTAAGGTCCAGGAATGTTCCAGGAATGGTAAAAGACACTTGCTTGGCACCAGGCCTGATTCCTGTTTCCTTGCTCACATGTAACCTGCTGGGGGAGGTGCCAGTAGACTGCTGTGGTGTGTTGGAGGCCATGACTAGCAGTGGAGCACACTTAGTGACCTGAAACTGAGTCCATGCTAGCAAGGGAGATTACATGACCGGAATGCATGTGCAGGCTGTAACATTGATCGTAACTCCCAGAGATCATAATAGTATTTCTTTACATAATAATTACGTTGACAAGTAGTAGGTGTTCACTGTTCACCGTGTGACAGGTAGCCCAAGCCCTAATTAAGTGCTCACTCTAGATTCCTTTGTAAGTTTCTGTATCACCTGACCAGAGCATGCAGACTGGTGCAGCAAGCAAGGATCATGCCTAGAACATACCCAGCTAATTCATGCACATCATTGATATGAGCTGTACAGTACTATACTATGAGTATGTTACCATCTCATCAAGAAGTAGAACAGCAAGCTGGAGTCTAACCGTTACACCATGTGGCACAGTGGAAACCCCCCAGGTCCTCACAGTTCAATGGATCCAACCTTTAGGCTATATTTAGGTTATTATACAATATACACTAGTGCTGATGCAGACAGCATAGGATTCATGACACCAGGACGCAGGAGAGCAGCTGGGACGTGAGCTGGTGTCCCCAATGTCCACCACCTCTGCATTCCTGGGTATGCAGATCAGCTTGAGTTTTTTAGATCAGCCTGATCTACAAAGCACTGCCAGCATAGCAAGTTGGCAGTACTCAGTAATTGTACTCCGGCTCAGTACCTCTGTGAGCCATGTGTTCTTCACTTCAGGCTACACTGAATACCCTCAAGGGGGGGGGGGGGGGGATCAAAATCGCACAGAATTCTAGCCTCGCACAGGCCTCACACCTGGTGAGGGGGGGGGGGGGGGGGAGATAGAGTGTGGCTCTATTTCAGAAACAATCACAGTCATGGCGAACTACTACCGATAGCAAATAGAAATATTCATCTACAATTGTACGTTTTCAGAGGGCCGGGGAAACTGGGCTGAGGCAGTGAGGGCTTGGGTAGACTCTGCAAGTGAGGTTAGTAATACTAGTACATGTACAGTGCGTTTTTTTATAATAGACTCTGAAAACCTTGAGAACGTACTCAAGGACACTTTTGAGAAAATGTCATGCGAGTTGCGTCACGAAAATCTGCGCGCGAAATTCGAAAAACCAGGTGCGACTCGTGGCATTTCGCAATCTTGTTCAGAGTGTCCTTCGAGCTCCTTGCCTCGTGGCCGGAGGAATCATTTTGTTGCTGACTGCTCTGTGGCCCTATTTTGCTTTTTCTCGAGTGTCTTTTCGTTCGTGGCAACTTGTTCTCTCGACATGCCACATAATTATAACAAAACGCGACCGGGCCATGGTACATGGTGGTGTCTGTTTTACAATTTTTTGCGAAGACGAGGAGAACAATGGCTGGGCATCGAATTGGTCCCAAGTATTCCATTCGTCATGCTGCTGTTGCGTGTGGCGTCAGCATTTCCACCATGAACAGATGTACCAGGGATGCTGACGGCGAAAATCAGCGTGCTGCGTTGGCCTTGTCTGTCTCCAGTGATGAAGGCAACGAGAGTGACAATCCCCGAAGTGAGACTCGTGCCATGAAACCACTCAACCCTTACGGATTTGCTTTGGACTGTATAAGAAGTAATTTACGGATTCTATGCTGCGAAGGAGGACCCAACACTGGACAAAGTTCCTGCTCGCTGCAGAGAAACCATCGACGATTTTCCAGACATGAGCAAAACTAGCTCTTGGGAAAATGTTGCGTTCCATCGGATTCCAGTGTGGCAAGACCAGAGGTATCACACAAATAATGATGGAACAGCACAGGATTGTGTCATGGCGGCATCGCTACCTGTGAGACATACCTGGATGAGACGTTTGTCAATGCGCGTCACACAGTTACTAGGAGGTGGTACGACAATGGTAACAGGAGTGTATAGGCAAGCAACCAAATGAAGCACCATCAGGTAAAGGCAAGCGTGTTATTGTTCTGCATACTGGTGGACGGGACGGATTCGTGAAAAACTGCGCCGATGTGTTCGTGACTGGAGGCTGGCGCCAACGATGATATACGTTGTCGGCTGTCCGCGCACATCTGTTCACTGTGTAATACTGTCGTCACAAGTGCAACACAAAACACGGAATTATTGGGGCCGTTTCGTTCCTCGCTGGTCTTCTACTATTCGCAGATGTTGAACCAGACACAACTGTGACTTATTTGCATTGTGTGTGTGTGTTTGTAAAACTGCTCATGCTTCCTTTTTGTTAGTCTCTTTATGGGAGCTGTGTGAATTGCCTTTGTGATTTGTTGTGGTGTTTGAATTTTCACTGCATTCTTTCAGGGATCGAGGGAAGTTTCCTACATGCATGCTGGAATGTTTTGATTTATTGAGCTAATTGCAATACAGGATTTGAATTATTCAGTACAGTTTGCCACAATAAGTCGTGAAAAGCCACGACTCACTGGTTTCCTACAAAGGTTAGGAGAACTGCAGACAGCAGTGCACAACTGCACAGCCATGTGCATGTACATGTACATGCATGCGCTGTACTACAGTATACCGAAAAAGAAAAGAAAAAAAAGAATCAAGATGAACTGTACTGGATTCGAACTCATGCTGGGCACCATGCAAGAGATGAGCTTTCCTGGCTAAAACTTCCGTTTTAAAAATCAAAATCCACTGAAAACCATTTAAAACCGGATTTCTAGCCGAAACCCGGCCGAATATCTAACTTTGACAATTATTATTATTCCCACTCCCAAACTTAATTTTCTTCGATCCAAGACCCACACAAACGCAGCTGTGAAGAAAAAATTTCAAATTTGGAATGAGAACAAACTAAAAAATCAAAATCGACAATGGTCTGTTATAAAAAAACGCACTGTAGTAGTACACATGTACTAGTAGTAGTGTTGAGGAGGGGGGGGGGGGGAATTCACTTCCCCTTACAGTACTGTATTAGTACTGTTGACGTGACCAATGTTCAATGTCATGTGACACCAACACAAGGTCACTCACCCTAACAGTAACACGACATACAGATACACGACTGTTACTTGTTGGTGTTACAATGACATTATGATTGTACAAACTAACCAGTGCTCACTAAATGTACTACTACAAGTGGTTGTGTGGTACATGTACATGTATCACCATTCCTGCCCCTTCGACTATCGTCCATCCCCGAACATTGCGTCCAGAAAATGCGCTGCACGAGGACCCGCAGTCCACGCTATCCAGTACATATGCCACACACGGTCTTGTTTGGCGAGTGATTTAGGACTGGTGTACAGAACAGCTGCAAGGTTGAACCTTTCGCTCCTTCGATTTGTGAAAACTGCAACATTCCGGAACACAGCGAGGCACCTACGCGGTCGAGCTGAACAGCTGATCTATTCTTCTAGTCACCAGCTTGCGCTACGACCTTCACGACTACTCTACTCGCAGCTCTCGCCCGCTGTTCTGTTGTACATGTGCAGAACAACACAACGCATGCATTGCTGTTCACATTTTGCCCAAATAAATATTTCGAACAACATGCACTGGTTGTGTCGGCACAATATCAACGCCGACTTGCAGATGTGTGCATTCCAAGGACAAACACACATATCTGCATCGCGCACAAACACACAGATCTACATCGCGCACAAACACACGGGCGCCTGTACCATGTGTACGTGATGGATCAGTGTCCTACACTAGAAGTAACCCTACATTAGTACATACAATAATATGTTTATGTGCTGCGTCGATCAGCTTACCGTCGCCGCTGCATCTCCGCTTCCTCTTCTTGTTTCAAGCGCTTCAGAACAGAGACGATGTGCTGCCGTTCCGCCGGCGTGAAGATGGAGAAATCCGGTGTCGGAGGCCGCAGCCCGCCAGCGACCTCGTTCTCCATTTCCGCAGATGACTGAGGGCGAACGTCGTCGACATCGTTGCCTCCGTCCACACTAGTACCAGTTGTCATGTTGAAGGCGATTTCCACCCTTCTACAACAGCTCGATCGTCAGCTGACGGAAAACTGGACGTATCTTACTAACGCTACCTCCACGCACAATCCGAACCCGAACAGGCTACAAAATAGTGTCACGATCTTGACTTTAGTGCTGTTGCTATTCAAGACGGGGAAACAAGTCGGACGTCGCACCCCGACCTCAAGCCAAACATACAGTCGACATCAACGACTTCTAAGTTCTAACCAACAGTAGATCTACGCTTAGCGCTTACGCTTTCAAGTGAGTCTCCGCTGGGTGATGGTCAGGTTTGCACTAACTCACTGACAGGCACTGTTAGTGAGTTAGTAACAACATCCCTCGCAGGCGTGGTGGTAATGCTACTAATACTTAGTACTACTAGTAATACTAATAGTAATATACTGGGCCTGGGGATAAGGTTTAGGATGAGGCCCGTCGATCGACCTGCTGCGCCGACTACATACACCGCGTACCGGATGGCGACAGGCTGCAGTAGAGATCTGCCACTGTGCCCGTGGTGTTGCATGCAGCCTTTTACGAGGGACAACAATTACATGTCAACACACACTACAACTACATGTATACAGTACAAGTACAAGACAACTACAGGAAAAAGTACTGGGTAGATATGTGTCTTTTAGCTATGTCCAGTCGACTAGTCCGCACGCTGCACGCGGTGTTAGCGCATCATCCACCGGCTGGACCTATGACTATGTCCGTGTTGTGGGCATTCCACGAATATCTATCGGCATCAGAGTGCACGACTGCACGGGTAGATCTACTCCTGACGTGATGATCGAGCGTGAAAGTGTGTGTGACATGGTTACGCGAAATGAGGGGGCCGGGGACTGCGTTCACTGCGCCACGAAAGTACGAATACAGCGAGCTTAGCTAGCTAGTAGTAGTAGCTCAGTACAGTAGCTGAGCTAGCTACGTATTGCTGTCACGGGACTCACGGCCGGCCGGAGCCGCGGCGCGGAGGGAGCGACTCGTGCTCAGAGTCGTAGTCGAATGATTATGTGCACGTCTTTTCAAAAGGAGACACGGGAAAACCGTGTGCATGTGGGACTCGGATCGGAGTGGCTTCGGCGGCGATAGCATCCCGACCTAAGCCAAGGTGAACGATTCTACCACGCACCGGTCCCACGAATGCTCAACACAAAGCAAAAGAACAGAAGTCTTCAAGGACCAGGTTTAGGGCTGCCCAGTGCCCACGCCGTACACCAGCGCCGCAGCGGTTCACACAAGGCTTTGAATCTGTGTACAGTACGTGTCATCTTGGTATTAAAATCTTTGTCAAGCTAGCCAGGCACTCGTCGAACTCTCGCCATGTAGAGTCTACGCTGTAGATCTAATGCAATCACCGTGAATCACGGGAATTCCCAGATTGCTAGAGATAGCCTAGGTAGAGTTCTCAACACCACAAGGATGGACCAAAGGCAGAAGAGAACAGCGACAACCGCTCTAAAGCATTGTTGTAACGCTGCGTTTCATGCACACAGCAAGGCTAAGGCAACCCGCAGAACACTGGTACATAATCATTCTGGCTACAAACGAATTTCCAGGCAAGTACTGTAATGATCCGTTCGTGAGATATGGAAGGGATGGTGTCAATCATTTACATGAGAATTGAGAGGTGAAAATTAATGAAGATTGAAGGATCTGGGAGAGATGACATGTCGACAGTCAAGTCGCAGTCACCATGGTACATGTAGAATACAATCGTGTGTAGTTACTTTAGGCTAGCTATTCCTGACTCAATCTTTGTTGCTCCTGCCTGCCTGATCCCTTATCCGAACAACCTTCTCATCAGGCATCAGAACCAGGGAGTCGTATAAACAACTCCCTGATCAGAACCCGCTGGAGACAGCCCGTGCCCCGAGGGCTGTCCCCGGGGAAAATTGCGGAAAAAATCGCAAAAAAAGCGGGGAAAAACGCGGCATAATATGGCATAATTTGCGGTGAATTTGCGGTAAATATGCGGTGAATAATATTGATGTGCGGCAATTTTCAGTGAGTATGTAGTGAAATCAATCAGTTACAAGTCTCTGGTGTAAGCACTCGTCATATTAGTCCATCGGCCAAATCTCAGAAAGGGCCTCTTTCGGCGAAGGTGATGCACTGAAGCTCCAACTAAACGCCCTTTGGCACACTAGCTCATGAGACCCCATAGAATACGAATCCGGTTGTTGGACGTTGCCAATCCAGTCCAGGATAGTCGAACTGGGTCGAATACCTTCTTCCGATTTTCGTAATTTCGTCCACCATTGCATCTTTCTCATCGACTTTTTTTCGCTTGGCGAATGTTCTTGAGCCGCTGAGCAGAATCTACGCACGCTCGAACACTTGAAATGCCTGCATGTTGACGGTTCGCAAGATTCTAGCGAGCTTGGTGGAAATCTATTATTTATTTTGACATTTTTGGGGGAATCTGATTTAGAACGGTAGAAGCTCATTCGGAGAAGACGGCGTGTCGCCGCTGTCGGATTGTCGCTACTGTGTTTCAGACGTATTTGCTTGAACGTGCTATTGAGGATGGGCAGAAGATGAAGTGACGGCTTTCTTGAACACGGACGTTGTGTCTACATTGTAGCTGAAACATCTCATCTGGCGTCTAGAACGCAATTATTATGAGTTGTGAGTGCCAGCTGAGCTGAATACAAGCTGGACACCATTCGTCAGCTGGGAATTTGCATCGAAGCTCTTGATAGCCACGATAAGCATAATTATACAGAGGTAACCTTGTTTGACTCAATACGCATGCAGGTGATACCACTAGTGGCACTACAATGTAAATGGTGCAAAATTGATGCAACAGCGAATATGTACTTCGTACAATCACGAACAATTGTAAGGCAAGTGTTCATGCCTGTCATAGAAGAATTTCAGCCCGGAAGTCTTGTTGTCATGGTCATAAATAATACAGGACTTGAGTTGGCTCTGGACATAAACACACTTGTGGTGAATACGGTCATTATTGCGAGAAAAATATTTAGCCACTGTATGTTAACACCTGATGCCGCACTACAAGCAATATTTCATGTACATGTATGTGAGACTCAATTGCATCCACAAGGCTGTAGATGCATGTAAGCACACAATGCTGTACAGTATAAGTAGTAGTCGACATGTGGTGCCTTCCTGCTGCACATGCTCATGCGGCAAGTTGGCAACGACACATGACCTATCTGCACCGCACAGCGTGAGCTTAGAAAGGAATATTGCACACATAGTGCTATTTGTGTTCCGATATCGTTAAGCCGGTATACATGTACTAGTATCCTTATACATGTACCTGGTCACTCGATAGGCGATGCCGACTGTACTAATCTTATCCATATTACCCGACAGGCTATAGCACACTGCGTCAGATCACTATGCAACAAAACAAGAGCTTTGCCCGGGGCGAACATACACTGAAGCAAAGTAGGTTTCAACGGTACAGCACTAGTCACGATGAGGGGAGTTACGAGGATGGTTAGACCGTGACACATAGATGATGATTGTTAGTGATTCATGCACGGTGGAAAATTACCACCAATGGCGATGATATTGCTTTCACAACAATGACATCAGTAGGAGCAGTGACACAACCTTACTGCTCCAAGTAGGATTTACAAGCAAGTGAAGGGAGAGCAGACTGGTCTAATAGCAGACCGGGTCTAAGCAAGGAAGTAATCGGCATCAGAGGTGAGCTTGCACATCAGAAAACAGATGATGATCACCAAACACAGAGAAGTTGGCTATGTGTATGTTTGTGTCACTGTGTGTGCATGTGTGTGTGTGTGTGTGTGTGTGTGCATGTGTGTTTGTGTGTATGCGCGCACATCTGTGTGTGAGAGAGAGGCAGACAGACAGATAGCATATGGTGGGAGGGATCAAGGTCTGACCTCAGAGTTAAATGCTGACGGTGTGGAATAGCAACAGTGCGAAATCGGGCAGGGTGGTTAATGGCCCATACTGGAGCCGAGTAGGAGCGCCAGTGGTTGAGGGCTAGCACAGGAGTAGCAGCAGCTCCAGCCTAGGAAGATCAGCTTCTGGATGAAAATCTCCCGGACACAGTAGGTACCAAGCTTCACTAGCAGATTGCCGGCAGGGGTGCACGGCGAGCACCCGTACATCCCTCAAGCCACCAGAGCAGCAGTACTTGGAGACGATCCAGGTGCTTACCCGCCAACAATGCTGAGAAGGCACTGGAGCCATACAGGAACTTATGATCGAGCATGACCACAGACTTGAAATACAGGGTCCGGCGTTGAATACTGAGACAGCGACGTCTCCTCCACAGAACACCACTCAGCCCCACCATTGCATTATTTTCGCTTTTTCATGATTTTTACAATTGTGTTAGAGCACACAGCACTCGATGCAACATTTACCAGTGACTAAATAACTCCGCGTCTCCGACCATAACTGCAGCGTTCCCGTGAGCCTGTTGGATTTCCGTCAGCCTGTTGAAATTATCTTCATCTCGTCACATGTGAGCCTGTGTGTTTCATCCGTATCGTGGCACAATTACACAGACACGATTTCCAACTCAGGCCGGTTCCGTTGCTCGAAGGGTTGGCGGTAAGAATTGCTACGCCGTCTGTGGTTGCATGGGAACTTGGCGAGTCGTCGTCTTTCTCCATAAATCCTGATCGTCACGCGAACAACAGCCACTATTGCCTAAAAACTACGACACAACAGTATCAAGCTCGCACCAGCAGAAGGACACGAATGTCGAGCGCTAAGACGGAGAAAGAGAGACAGGGTTAGCGAGAGCTGACTAGTGCAGGTACGCTGTCATCTCCTGAGGTGGTGGGCGAAGCAGCGAAGTGAAACGAAGGAAGATAGAACTTATTAGAAGGCATACGGACGCACCAAAACCTATTGCCTGTCACATACTAAGTGCCATTTAGGGTTGACAGCTGTCAGCTGACAGCCTCAAAAATTTGAAAATCTGCTCAAAAAACTCTCGATCAGAACTCTGCGCACTCTCAAATGGAGCGCACAGTAAAAAACTCGGCGACGAAGAACGCTTCGTATCGACGCCCTGGACTGAATTCGGCACGTCCAACAAACGGAATAGTGTTCTCTGATATATTCTCTACGTGCTGGGTATGGTCGCGTTTAGTTGGAAGCTCAGTGCATCACCACTTTCGATTTTGAGACTTGGCCGATGGACTATATTTGAGTAAAAAGCCGCCACGATGAGACGTTGCTGACCGAACAGTGCACTGTGTGTACGTGTAGTGCAACAAAAAAGTTCAAAAAACGCGGGAAAATCGCGGAAAACGCGGTCTTTTAAAAAATCGCAAAAAACGCGAAAAAAAACGCGGCCGCGGAATCGCAATTTTCCCCGGGGACAGTCAGTCGCCGAAAGTCATTTCAGGGTGAGAATCGTTCTCGACTCAAGAAAAAGATCGCAAAAATCAGTGTAAGGGCCGGGTTCCACTGCGGCTCCGCGGCTCCGCTGCACCGCGGCACTTGGCTGCATGCAGCGGAGCAGCGCGGTTCCACTGACACTCGCCATTCGCGGTACCGCGGTTGTGCTCCACTTTTTTTGATGACGTTTTACCTGCCTACCCGCGCGAAATCAAAAAGATCCTCGTCATCTGGCCTGCGTAACGCATTAAAATTTGAATTTTAAAATTATCGCGTACAAAACAACGCAAAGTACGGGAAACAGGTCGAGCCGCGACCGCGGCTCGCAGTTTTTGCTCAAGAATCGTAGCAAAAGCTCGCGGTGAGCCGCGGACTCGCTGCTACAGCTCGAGCCGCGGTCACTATGGTAATCATGACGTTTCAAGCCGCGAAAGACGAGCAGCGGAGCAGCGGAGCCGCAGTGGAACCCGGCCCTAAGTCTCGATGGAACGCTTGAGGATGGACTGTAGGGGTGCGGATAATCAGCACACTTAGGCATTTTTCTACATCGGCTTGTCGTTCGGTTTCCGGTAAGGGTAGTACTTTCCGGTGGTCAGGTCCAATGTCACGTCCACTGAAAGTCGACTCTCTTCAGGTTTGTCTGTATCGTTATCTTCAGTCCGAGGTTCTGGAATGATTTTGGTCATCTCCTTTCTTATTCGGTCAGCTTCATGTCCTGATGCATTCCTGAACACAGCCAGGTCGTCGTCACGATACAACCCGACGTCTCTGGCGTTGAACACGTCCGCTATCTAAGGGTTTCCACAAAATTCAAGAAAAAATCTCAAAATTGAAATTCAAAATTCAAAAAAATTAGGCAAATTTCAATGATAGAATTAAAAAAAGGGTTTGCTCCCCACACCGGAGCTCGCGCTATTCCGCCGACTTTACTTGACACTTGACCCATCATCGCCGAAGTCGCAACCACTACTTCGTAGAATTAAAAAAAATCGCAACATTTAAAAAAAATTCAGCCAATTACTCTGGTTGCGCCGAAACTTCTGGGTATCACCATGGCAACACCATGGTAACGCAAAATGGTGGCCGAAGAAAAATGGTTGTGCTCAATCTTCTGTCAATCTGCTTTCCAGTTCCGGTGATTATTATTATTATTTTTTTGATCCAAGGTTTCTCCACACAGGTCGATGGGACGATGGCATCCAACAGCTTACTGGAAACCCAAAACCAACCATGCAAGTGGGTAATGTATGGCAAAATTCAACAAAAGGGACTCAAAAATCAAAAAATCAAAAAATCGCTAAAATTCAGAAAATATTCAGAAATTTTTGTGGAAACCCCTACCGCTATCATGGCGAGGGCGAAGCCTAAGGCTCCAACAAGCTCACACACCTCAGTCCCATTCATTGTCACGTCAAAGTGCTCGTTGTGTCTCTTCACCCACTGTGACCCAGTGCCTCTCCAAGCCAAACAGCAGCGATCGCCTGGCGTGGACTATGATGTCACACTCCTCCTGGGAGATGTCCGTGTAGCGGCGGGCAAATAATAATTCGACGGATCTCTGGAGGAGGTCTGCTGGGATTGAGGGCTAGAAATCTACAATGTCAAAGCACACGAATATGCAGTTTTCTTTCTCTGGTGTTCTTGTGAACCACTCTATCACCGCTGTCGTGTTCCTCCATGCATTAATCTGCAGCTGGGGGCGGAGCTGTTTTAGAGCGGTATCGAGTATAGACTTGGAGACCATACCGATTTCACTCGTTGAGGGATTAATGAGCCGGCATGGCAGGGACCGGGAAAAGTTGTCTTTGTGATCCTTCAGCGTGATGTATGCGTCCTTCTTCGCCATTGCGTCCATTCTGTCGTCCAGCTCCAGCGTCGCAGCAATTGTCTGAGCTTCCGAGTTGATCTGGTCGTAAGTCTCTGCCGGTGTAGGTTTGTAACGCTTGGTGATGTTGTTGCTCAGCAGTTTTGTGTACTGCTCTTTGTTGACTTCGTAGAGGTTTCTGGTCTTGTCAGCTGGCACGATGATGTCCGGTGATGCTCTGAATGTCGCTTCCGAGCCGTTGCTGAAAGGGATTAGTGACTCTACGAAACTCAATCATCTCAATCATTTTAACGCATCGTCCTCGAACGCCTTCAGTTCATCAACTTGGGGCGGGCATTTACGGGACTTGAGGCCATACCTGCATCAATCAGCAGAAGACTCACAGATATTTCCAATGATGAAGATGTCTTCAGAGATGCGACTCCGATCTACAGTGACGCGCTGAGGGAGAGTGGATACCGCGTACCGGGAGAACGTACAGTATTTTGACGAGCGTAAAACGGACGAGACAAAAAAAAGAAGAAGAAAAGGAATCGCCACCAGAACATCATAATTATTATGGTTCAATCCACCATTAATTTAGCAAGAACGTCGCCACCGATGTCGGACTTCGCTTCCTCCAGCTAGTGGCCAAACACTTCCCCAAAGACTCAAGCCTCAACAAAATCTTCAACCGGAACTCCGTGAAAGTTAGCTACAGTTGCATGCAGAACTATGATATGGCCACCATCATCAAACAACACAATAACACGATTCTACGACCCAAGAAACAAGCCAACGGAGGTGACAACGCCCCCAGGACTTGTAACTGACGGGCGAAAGACATCGTGTATAAGGCAAGAGTAACCGCAGGTATGGAGAAGAAGGAGTATACTGGATTAACAGCAACAACATTCAAACAACGCTACTACATGTATAACCACCAATCATCATTCCGCCACAGACAACACGAGAAGGACACCCGCCTATCGCAGTACGTCTGAGCCAAGAAGGATGAAGGGAAGGCATGCGCATTCAATCGGCGGTTCACCGCAGAGCAGCGGCCTACAGCAACAAAAGCCAAAGGTGCAACCTGTGCCTGGCGGAAAAATTGGCAATCGCGCAAGCACACAAGCACCTCTCTCTCTCTCTCAACAAGAGGAGTGAGCTTGTGTCAAAGTGTCGCCACGAGAATAAGTACTACCTTCTGAACTTCAAACCATCCACAGCCATCACCTAATTAAATAAGAGACAACCGGCTCCAGTGGTTGTCGCCTTTCACCACTGCTGTCATTCGCACTTTTAGATTTGCCGCATGATGCAGTCATTAAAACGCTTTGCACTGCCACCATTCACAACTTTTAGATTTGCGCCATGATGCAGCCATTTACACTTTGCTTTGTGAGTATATAAATCAATACTATCTCATTACTGTTTTCTGATGATCGTTTAGTGCGTGAAACTCGGAGTTAAAATACTTTCTCTGTCCTCTTATTGTTTTAATAATATATAATAAGAGAAAGTGTTTTAAATTAACTCCGAGTTTTATTCGATCTGTCACTAGACCCGATCTTCACAAAGGACTTATTAAACTACATGTACTTGGCAGCAGAATTGTGTCGCAGCTGTCGCTTAACTCAATCTGTCGTTACATGCAAGGTCGTTATATCCGATCTCCACTGTGCTTGCTAGCCAGACTGAGAGACTCACACCGCCACAAAGCTATGTACCAGTACGTCCAAGCCCAAGTCCACCACTACTACAAGTACATGATTATAACAATAAGTACATGTACATGATTGTAGTACTACTACTAGGCCAACAGGCAATGCAGCCGCTGTGGATACGTGATACCAAGAGTAGAGGGTTACCGGTATACCAAGAGTATAACGCTCTGGGTGTTATGTACTCTTGGTTATACCCGATGCTAGCTGGTGTACTTAATTTGCTGGCCAAAAATCCTATATATAGGATTTGAAAATGTGTGCCTTTTATGCCGTTGTTATTGGTCATCACGACCAATAATAACGGCATAATGGTTTCATGGAAGTTGTAAATATGTTTGAGGCATGAATGTTTACATTTTAGATTCATAGGGCGATAATATTTCTGATGAATACCCATTTTCAGCAATAATTGGAAATTTGAGCATAATTGTTCAGCTGCTGTCATGGAAAGGACTGAAGCAGTGAATGTGCAGAAGAACATTGCAGGTGTGGCACGGGGTGGTTTCATGACGACATATCGCACATGCCGTCATGAAACTACCAGTTTTAAGGATAAAACAAGGTCCAATAAAATCTCAAATCCTATATAATATTATAGGATTCGAAAAATAGGGCACAGGCCTTAGTAATATTGAGCAAGGAGATGAGCCTGAGATGTTAGTGTTTGAAAAAATTATCTTATTCAACTCTCGATATCTACTAAGACCTAGCAAGGAAAAATTGGTCACATACTTTTTGCTATTCTCATGCCACACCCATTTTGAGTTGAAAAATATGACCATAATCCTATATATAGGATTTAGCAAATTAAGAGATAGCCTGCCAGGCAACGTCAGAGCACTTCTGTTGTGTACGGACGTGTTTTCCGTAGGGTCAGTCACTCATGGATACTTAAGAGATGATTCAAAATGTGAAATGTTTCATATGGTGATGCATATATGAGGGAATTTCATGGCAGATATTTTTCAGCAGTAATCACGATGTATTGTATTATGAGAGCAGACAAGTGATAAGTGGTTAGAAATGACACATCCAGCACAGGGACACATGCCTGGAGAGGGGGACATGTCGAGCCCAGGGGCACGGCTTCAAAGAAGGGGAACATGTCGAGTGTGTGGGCACAGGATCAGAGAAGAGGGGGGGGGGGGGCATGTCGAGCAAAGCGACACAGGGTCAAAGAAGGGGCCTGGTAATACTTTTCTTGTTCTTGAGCTTGTGATTGGAGCGAGTGGACCACTGTGAGTAGAGATAACTACTGTCACTGGCCGAGCGACGGCGATTTCCTCTGCTTGAGATGAGACCGATGGGAGAGGACGCAACTGAGATGAGAGCACCTCCCAGAGTGCTGGCTGGCGGTCTGCTGGGAAGAGCGGCAAACTCATCACGAGAGCACTCCGACGACTTGTTACTGCTTGGCAAAGCTGCTGGTGCCGGCTCGACTTTGAGCAGCTCCGGCAGTTCCCTGGCAAGCTGGAGCAGCAGGGTGCTACGTGGTGTTGGCAGATGATCACCAACCTCCACCAGCTGCTGGATGCGGGCAATCTCGTCCGGGAACGTACCGTTCAGCTTGCACTCTTGCATCTGCGGTACAGCATGCACGCACGCATACACACACGCACACACACACACACACACGCACACGCACACGCACGCACACACACATACACACACACACAGAATAAGAGCCAGAGAGGATGGTGATTACAAAACAAGATTGTACTAGACACTCATGACTTTATAGTAAAACTCCAGCACCCACCCAGCCATGGTTCATTTCCTCACATTGAAAAATCCAACAGCAAACAAACTGCTTGCACAACTTTTCTTCATCGCCAAGACCTACAAAATCCAATACTTTTAAAAAGCAGCATGCATTCTCTGCAGCAAGGAGTATCGCAATATCATCCGGCGAGCTCGAGACTCGTACTTGTCTACACTAGGGACACCAACCCTAAGGCAGAACAGGTGGCTATTTGCGGTGGGAAAGCGCAACGAAGATAATACAACATTGATCGTGAGATTCGTGAAATACAACACCATGTACATAACCTCTCCCTCAATTTTAAGTGCTCCCCAACGAATTCATGTTGCAGTACTTTTCAGTTTTCACTCATATCAATAATATACATCCTTCAATGCAGTTAACCCTTTGATAGGCGGCCAGCCTTTGGGTCATCCTACTAAAGATGATACTATTACTAGACATGTTGCTAACTGACTCTAACCTGTTGTACAATGACTGGGCGCAGGATAACCTCTAGCGGACTGTGCGACGTCAGGACAAACTCCATGAAATCCAGGCACGACTTGCTCACTGGAAACAACAACACGCCGCAGCAAAGCGTGACTCGCATATCAGACAACAACACTGCAAGCAATATTCAGAGCACTCTGCATACACTGGATGTAGGATACACTGGCAGAGGTAAGCTACTTTAGCTCATACTTCGAGTACATGTACACCCTTCAAAGCAGTGAACCCCTTGATAGGCGACAAACCTCTGGGTCATCCTAATAAAGATATTATTATTATTATTATTATTAAGAAAGGTTTGCTCCCCACACCGGAGCTCACGCTATTCCGCCGACTTTACTTGACACTTGACTGACTCACGACTGCCATCCAGAGCACACGAGAAGTCCATCGAACCTTCGACTCGGCAAACCTGCAAGAAAGCACCACTCCCTGCTCAATACACAGTGTTTCGGGGAATTCACCCCTCATCAGTTGAGCTTGAGTAGGCTGAGGAAGATTGTGCCTGAAGAGCACCACTTATATAGTGCTCTCCAGGCACAAACATCACCAGGGATACAAACTCACTGACGCTGCTATCTGGTGTTCACGAGGTGTTTATCGCGCTGGAAGCGGAGCGTCTCTGTAAGTTTGTATCCCTGGTGATGTTTGTGCCTGGAGAGCACTATATAAGTGGTGCTCTTCAGGCACAATCTTCCTCAGCCTACTCCAGCTCAACTGATGAGGGGTGAATTCCCCGAAACACTGTGTATTGAGCAGGGAGTGGTGCTTTCTTGCAGGTTTGCCGAGTCGAAGGTTCGATGGACTTCTCGTGTGCTCTGGATGGCAGTCGTGAGTCAGTCAAGTGTCAAGTAAAGTCGGCGGAATAGCGCAAGCTCCGGTGTGGGGAGCAAACCTTTCTTACAAATCATCGCCGAAGTCGCAACCACTACTTCGTATTATTATTATTATTATTATTATTACGAAGTGGGGAGCAAACCATTTATTATTATTATTATTATTACAATGTACAGCAAGACCGATCTAAGGTGAACACTCCAAGAACTCTCTGACCGTGGTCCCTAAACACAGGTGGCCCCCTTATCCGGTATCGTTTCCACTGGAAATGAGGCCTGTCTGGTCGTCGTCACTTCAGCGGTCACCACTCACGATACCAGGGTGCTCCCCTTGACCAGTTCTACTCCAGTGAAGATGAGCAATAGCTATGGTTAGAACATGCGGCCAATCCATCAGCACGGTCAGCTTTGATCCACATCCACACCGGTATACACGTATCAGTCACAAAACAAGCTGCTCGCCCCAGTGGATCTAGTGAAGAGGATTGGTTGGCTCCATTCCAGGGAGTCAACCCTGATAGTTTAGGGTATGCTCTCAAGACTAAATGTTCTGTACCGGACGCTGCTGAAGAGCTGTCATGGTGGCACAGATCGATGATCGCTCTCAGAATTTGAAAAACTCTCAAGGAGAAATCCAGCGGCCTGTCCTAATCAGCATACCAGCTACCTACCAGATAGACTTATAGTACCAAGTCAACCTTTGCATGGTACTGTATGCACTCCGATAATGGTCTTAAAAGGACAACACTTACCACTGGTGAATTGCAGATGACGGGCAATCAGGTGATAGCGAGATGAAAGCTGACGCTCAAAACACACCGAGACGATTTTCAACCCTGCACGGAGCAAGAAGCCAAGCCACACAACAGCAGCAGCGGCACTTATGGGGTCAAGAATTATCGGCAGGTTTGTGCAATAATACAATCATGCTACAGTTGCGCTCGGTGAAATCCGGCCCGAAGTGCAAAGCCGGCGCCGCGAAGCCAGCTCCCATTACATCACTGGCGATTTGTGTGTATGAACTCAACTGTAAGCACCTCGTGTGAAAGTTCGGAGTGCACGTGTTGCATGCTAAAAACAGTTCAAAATTTCTTTCATTCACTTCACGAAGTACAGCTCAAGATCAAGAAGAGATAGAGAAGAAGGACATGGCCATTCCCAATGTGTGGGCTCTTCTCAAGAAGAGAATAATTCCACATCGCTGCGAGAATGCTGACCAGCTGGTGCAGGCACTGCACCTGGAGTGAGACACGTTGGCTCCTGACACGGTCTCCCCATACGTGGAGTCAATGCCACGTCGTGTTGAAGCCCTAATCGAAGCAGACGGTGGCCACACAAAATATGGAAGCCCTGCTGCTCTGTGTATGAAATAAACTGCTTCGAAACGATCTCCGTCTTCTTTACTTGTGCTGAACTGAAATGAATGTTACACTTGTCTTTGTTTGGCGCGGTTTTTTACACTTTGGTGTAAGCATGCATGCGTATGAGTACAGCACATGCACAGTTCATACGGCACACGTGCACACTAGCACTTGTACAACTTTGAGGGCGTCAAGGGCCGCATCAGTACTGGGCGCCAGTTATGCACTTCGGGCCGGATTTCACCGAGTGCAACTGTGTATTGACACCTCAACAGGACAGCCATCACAGCCCATACTTCGCCATGGGCAGAAAGGATCCAAAAGTCGGTATTTTGTCATTAAATTTTGACTTCTGACGACTTCTGACGTAATCGCGTTCAAGCCCTAATGCCAGTTTTCTCAAAGGGCACAGCACAAATTCACATGTACACATATTTCAGGGTGTGGTCGAACAAAACACACACACGCGCGCATACACACACATGCACATGCAGACACACACACACACACACACACACACACACACACACACACACACACACATACACACACACAGTCGAATATTCCATGTGCACCCCAAACTGCTATGGCAATGTAAACACACCAGACGACACGCAGCAATTGACAGCGTGCACAATGTCAGTGTGATGTCATCAGTGCGTAATTTTGGTAGATGAAATGGGTGCCTTGATCCTAGAGGGTGGTGGCGCTCCTGCGGATGCGGAAAACTCGGCCTTCAGCTGAGTCTCGCGCGAACCGTGGAAAAAATGGGTGCTTTGTGGATCTGAAACAGTGCAGACTTGCCCATTCCATCATACATGACAGGTTTCTACATATTTCATCACTATGAACACCCCGTCTATCACTGCACACCCCGTCTATCACTGCACACTCGGTCTATCACTGCACACTCGGTCTATCACTGCACACCCCGTCCATCACTGCACACCCCGTCTATCACTGCACACTCGGTCTATCACTGCACACTCGGTCTATCACTGCACACCCCGTCCATCACTGCACACCCCGTCCATCACTGCACACCCCGTCCATCACTGCACACTCGGTCTATCACTGTACACCCGGTCTATCACTGCACACCCGGTCTATCACTGCACACCCCGTCTATAAACCCACGGAGCGGGCACTCTTACAAAACATGTACTATTCGACTCACCGTGATACGCAATGGTCTTGAGTCGGAATCCTTCGTGGCCCTGCATTACGGAGGACATGGGCATCATGGGTGCCGCCGACTCCATTCCCATGGTCCCGCTGACGGAACTGTCGCGGCGACCGAGAGAGACGAACGACTGCACCGGGTTGATGTTAGCCGAGGTCTTCATCTGCTGCTGCGCCCCCTGGCCAGCACTGCCAGCAGCAGTGGGGTTGTTCAACGATTGCATGTTGCTGAATGCCGACAGGCAGGTCAGGATGCAGTCCAGCGCATAGTCAGCATCACGCTGCAACACCTTAGGAGCATCTACACAGGGAAACACGCGTGAGAAAAGAGAGCACAGCATTCTCGTCACCACTCATTCCCTTGCCGCCTGACAGGCATCTACTCATCTTCTCTTCAGGCATGGGAATGCTGTGTTACCAGAGTTACTTGTACATGTAGTCCTATCCACACATACTTGCATTGTTCTGGCATACCACTGCACATCACTGCATTGTTCTGGCATACCACTGCACATCACTGCATTGTTCTGGCATACCACTGCACATCACTTACCCAGGATCATAAAATACTCAGAACCTGGGAAATTTATTTATTTTATTTATTTATTTATTCACAATCACGTGGCACTAGCCAATGAAATGGTGATGTGGGCGATAGCCAGCCATGGCGGTAATAGAGCTAGAGGGGAGAAAGAAAAAGAATGAAAGGAGAACTGAAAAGCAGGAGAAGCTAGGGCAGGGCTGGATATCAACTAGTATGTTGCATTCTGCAGTAGCTGTGTGAATGTATTGTAACATTGGCAGGATTTTAGATGTTGTGGGAGGAGAGACCAATGGCGGTAAGCAAGGAAGAGAGGAGATGTTTGCATAGAGGCAGACCGCGCAATAGGGAAGCGGAGAGAGTTTCTGGTGCGCATGTCTTGAGATTGAGCAAACCAGCTTAGGCAGGAGAGAGCATGAAGAGGAGCAATGCCCAGCTTAATTTTATGAATTGTCTGGCATGCCAAAAAACGCACGCGGACCGAGAGCGGCACAGCAGAAGCAAGGCGGTATAAGTCTGCGCTTGGAGTCAGGCGAGGAAGCCGAAATAATATTTTCAAAAGACGCCTATGCATAACTTCGAGTCGAGCAATCAGTGTTTTAGAAATGCCAGCCCAAATTATGCAGCAGTAATCAAAAATAGGCAGAATGTAAGATGTGTAGATAACATGGCGACAGTCGGTGTGGAGGTGGGTGATGTGTGACGAGAGAAATCCCATTACTGAGCTAACACGGCTGTCTAAATTTTCGATCTGGGATTTCCAGGTTAAGTGTTGGTCAATAATGACGCCAAGATGCTTGTGTTTTTCAACGATGCAGAGCGGGGTTGTGGTGCCTGGAAAGGTGAAGGGACTGGTTACTAATGAAGATAGGTCACAGGAACAACTGGGGGGGATACACATTACAGCAGTTTTCGAAGAGTTGGGCTGCAATTTCCATTTTTCCATCCAATGAATAACGCCATCTATGTTGGACTGTAACTTGGCACTAGCCTCGGGGAGAGTGGGTGCTGTCACAAGTAGTGCTGTATCATCAGCATATAGTGATGTGTGTTCCATTTCTGCCAGGTCGTTTACATACATAAGAAAGAGGAGAGGCCCCAGGATTGATCCCTGAGGAACTCCAGACCGTACATGCCCTTTGGCAGACAGAGCAGAGCCGACACGCACCCTTTGCTGTCTGCCCGTCAGGTAAGTACTGAGCCACGTGAAGCAAGTACCATGGATGCCATGGCGCGACAGCTTGTATAGGAGCCCGCGTGTCCATACTGTGTCGAAGGCCTTGCTTAGATCAAAGAAACATAGCATGCTGTAATGGCCGTTCTCACGAACAGAAGACATCGATTGAACAAGTCTGAGAAGCTGCCAGGACGTAGAGTCGCCTTTTCGGAATCCAGACTGGGACGGATGTAGAACAGGAGACAGGTAAGTGTATAAGTGGTTGTACATAATACGTTCACACAGCTTGGAGATTGTTGACAATAACGAAATCGGGCGGTAATTCGATGCATCGAGCTTACTTCCCTTGTTCTTAAAGACCGGAGTTACAATTGCGTGTTTCCAAATAGCAGGGAAAGCACCAGTTGCAAAAGTGAGGTTAAAGATGAGGCTGAGAGGGTATGCAACACTGGAACAAAATAGTTTCAGGAGTTCATGAGAAATACCGTCCGCTCCCGCAGCCTTTCGGGTCTTAAGGTTGCGGATTTGCTTTGCCACAGCAAAAGGCGTGGTGGTGACATCTTGCAACGTAGGTGTAGTTCTTCCACGTGATGGGGCGTCGGGTGGCTTGAAGTCTGGCACATTCCATGAAGGATCATCTTGTGTTCCAAAACCAATAAACTGTTCGTTCAAAGCATCTGCCACATCCACAGGGTCAGAATATAGAGTACCAGCGACTGAGAGCTGAGTTACAGTCGTTCTGCTGTTGCCTTGGGGAGATCGAAGCTTCCGGACAAACTGGAATAAACTTGGTGATGCGGGTCTTGCCGTGGATGCACTTAGGGATGAGATGTACAGTCGATGGGCAGTTCGAGACATATTGCGAGTAACGTTTCGCTCTCGTCTGTAAATAGCGAAGTTGTCAGCGGAGGGAAACTTTCGGTAAACACTATACGAATCTCGTTTTTTCTTTATTTGATGTCGGAGGGTACTGGTCAGCCAGGGGGGGTTCATATGGATACGCTTGACAGCCGGCGGCTTCCGCCTGGGAAGAAATCTTGCACAGATGTTATGGAAGATAGAGTAAAAGTTGTCCACAGATATGTCAGGATCGCGCCTCTCCAGGCTCAAAGCTGCTGGCCAATGTATGTGGGACATGGCAGTATTCATACTCGCGACAGTGTTGCTGTCTAGAGAATCCAAAGGAAATACACTAAAATCAGGGACATCCAGGGGAGTCGAACGAGCATCACGAGAACGATATGTGGGCATTTCTGGGCAGGGTACAGTACGGATGTGGCCAACCACGATAGAATGATCGGATTGACCAAGTGGTGCTGTAGCACGGAGGCAGGATATAGAGTCCGGTATATCAGTGACAACTAGGTCGAGAGCTGCCCCCATGCCAGACAATGACTCATGTGTTGGAAAATTTACGAGCTGCGTGAGAGAGAACATGCCGAAAAGACTGTGAAGCTGGCGACCAGCGGCATCCGTGGTAGTTCCATGCCAATGACATGACTTAGCATTAAAGTCTCCCATCAACATTATAGATGTTGTTCGGTTCTTAAGAGTACTTAGACAGTGCTGGAGGGAATTGCAGAAGGTGTTGATACTTGATGGGGTAAGGGCTGGGGGTCGATATACTGCACCAATAACCAACTTCTTCACATGAGGCGACTCTGGAAAATGTATGTTAGCAGATGACAGGGCTATTTCCACCCATGTGGCTTCCAGGAGAGGGATACTGAGGTCAGATCGATGGGTGACCTTTGGAAACATCCCAGACCGTACCATGATACAGACGCCGCCATATGCATGGGTGGCATCGGTAGCTGACCTGTTTTCATCTGGCGGACGATCTCGGCGAAAACAGTCATATCCAGGGACCGTGAAAGACGACTGTGGAGAGAGTCATGTTTCCGTTATGCAAACAATGAGGGGTTTAACTGTGGAACAAATGTGAGCCAGCTCGGCAGTCTTGTTCTTAATGGACCTGGCATTGATGCACATTATAGGCTGTGATCCTGCGGTTGGCTGCGAAAGTGGGTAAAAAGGCTGAGCTAATGGATTAAGTGTGCTGTTAGTAGTAATGTTTGGGGAACAGTGAGGAAGTATAGGGGGGTTGAGGTTCATTATTGTGCAGACTGATCGACGGTTGTGTTGTCAGCTGTACTTATTCTGTCAGCCTTGAATCGCCATTCTCGAGCTGTCACTCCGTCAGGCCAAAAGTCAGTGTTTTGCACAGCTTCCCAGTCATCTTCTGTGACGACTACGTGCGCGTACGCTAGGCCAAAGTACTTTGTCTCAGAGACGGAGCATTTCAGTACAGTCACTTGCTTGTTTTCGCACCATTTTGCGATGGAGGAAGCAGAGCAACCAGGGTGAATTCTTCCAACATGAACAGCTTTGCATTTGGTACGATGGGCACTGCGCAGTTGCTCATGTTTGCGGGGTGGGCGCTGGTAGTATGAAATGACGTTTGTCCGGAGGGCTTGATCAGTATGTGTCCCCGTATTGGAGGTAGCTGACTGTGTCATGGGAGAATGCGATGGGAAGTGAGCTTTAGGACGTGCAGATACTACTTTTGCACTGTACGAGTACGGGTTGACTGCAGAGTGCGTATTCCGTGCCTGTGCTGCTGCATCCAGCTCAGGAGAGACTTCTGCTACGGGTACGCTAAGTACGGGTGCGTCAGGTGCGGGTGTAACCTTTTTGAATTCCGAACTGCCAATTTCTCTCTTCAGAACTTCAATTTCGGCGTGGAGGGCTGAAATTTCGGCTTTTTGGCCAACCTTCAGTGCCACTATTTCAATGCTCAGGTTTTCAATACAGGTCGTCAAAGATAATAATGCATTCTCTAGCCTGGATACATACGTTCCGGCTCGTGCATCCACACCAAATGCCCGGAGGCTCTCCACCAGCTCAGCACGGGACAGCTTACTCACGCCCTCTATGCTGTGTTTTGTAGCCAGTTTCCGCAGGTCGTCGAATCCCAGCAAAGCTAAGTCCTGGGTCCCCTGGGCCTCCGCGTCAGAGTCCATGCCTACCACTACTACTACTACCCGCTACTATGCTCCAGACCGGCCTGATGCCGGCTGGGCTACTGGAAATCTACAAAGACTACGGAGCTCTAAAAACTCACCTTTCACTCCAAAGGCAGCTCACAACAATGCACAAGTGCTGAAGTTTCTGTGCATCAGGTGTAGTTTTCTGTGGGAGAGCCTGGAGGTCTTGCCTTTCTCCGGAAAACCTGGTAAACCCGTCTTTTTCTGGAAAAGCCGGCAAAGAATGCCTGTGACGTACTGGATCCATCAAATATGCTTCAGTGCACACAAAAACCTCAACATGACTGTCTTGCAGAATGGGGAGAAACTGTGTGTGGCGTGCACCCTACTGTAGAATATTACGTTGAACAAAACACCACACAAATACAAATGACACTGGACACTAGTGGAGTACAATTCACATGTACGAACACACACACACACACACACACACGCGCGCGCGCGCGCACACACACACACACACACACACGCACACACACACACACACACACACACGTACATACACACATAACGCAACACACACACATACTGTTTTCGCTAAGTCATTACCTGACTGCCCGCTGCCCATGCGAATACACAGTGGCAGCAGTAGAGTGCACAGCAGATGGCAGTTGAGTGGCTTGACGGTGACAAACTGATCCAGGGGACCGCAGATATACTCGAGCGAGAACTCCGACCCCATCACCGACATCTGGGCAGAGAGCAGCTGGATGACGATCTCGTAGAAAGCCATGGACGGCGTGATAACCTTGTCGACGGCCGTGCTGAAGTCCCTCGCATCCATGTTGGGCGTGCTGGCATTCTTGCTGGGTGGCTTGGGAGTGTAGCCGGTGATCGGTACCCGTAGGTTGCAGCATGTTCGCATACGATAGAACAGCGTACCCGTAGGCCCACTCGTCTGCATCTGGTTGGAGATGTTGGAGAGGTTGAGCACAAAGCGGATCAGCTCCTCCATGGTACGCTGCGGACAAACCACCAAACAGGCCGAGACAGCAAAACAAGAAGAATGTAGAATTGGCGGTAATGGCATGGCTTGTGTAGATACAGAACTTTTCAAGGACTGTCCTAGTTTATCATATAGATCTGCACTTCTGTATCGGATACTGTGACGGAATGGACTTCCTGGTTATACGTCTAGAGACTTTCACACATTCCGCTATTTTCGTGTAACTGTTACCTGACCATGTATTCAGTGGCTGCAGGTTACTTTATCTGTCATTGTCTTTTGAGTATATTATTATTGTACCACTCGGGCTAGTTCTGTTACCAGTAAGCATTATAAATCCCTTCCCCGTACATGATCAAACCCTTTCCTGTCTCACGCTGTTGTGCATGGCGCACGTACACATGCCTACACTCCCTTTTGACATCGTACTTTGTACGCATTATTTATTTTGGGAATACTAAAGGCTGGCCAACAGCAAGGGTCCCCTCAGAAGTTGGTTAGTCCAGCAAGTAACTACTTGGATGTCCTTTGTGATCGCGAAATCTCTGTCTTACATGGTGTCAGAAGTAACAAGAGACCTGTCCGTCATACTCGTCTTGCCCTCGCCCGTTGCTGTTCGTCAGTGACGCCTTTTATCATCTGGTACTTGTAGGCATTTCCGTTCGTCGGGGTTAATTTTCAGCCGGTCTTAGCTGGATGGATCTAGCCCCTTTGTTTGGCCTTCACCCGCCAGGGGCAAATCAGAACCTACTGTCGTGATATGGAGCTGTCTGTCCTCTGCAGGCATTCAGGCTGATTTGGTGCAGCGCTTGCTGTCGCACAACTCGCCTGCCGCCACCACGGACTTTGAGGACGTTGTCAACTCGGAGTCAGACAACGATGGGGAGGGTCCGGCACACTTGCCTTCGCTCGTAATCGACGATCTCCAGAGTAGCTGCACTGGCAGTTCGGGCCGTCGTCAGCTTAGTAATTCTGCTGTCGCAGTGGTGGATAGTAGAGATACGGGCCCCAAGTCCGGACTTAACATCGGCGGTATACATGTACATGTACAGTACCACGATCGTCATGCACTTGTTGTGTAAAGACTTGACGATGCACAGCAAACACCATAGATGCTGGGGAGGCTAAGCAAGACGCCTTTTTCCTAGCTCGCCTTGAGCTGATGGCTGCGTTTTTTGTACGTCAGGTACCTTTCAGTTGTGGAAGTATATTCCCAGTCGTTGTACCTTTCTAGTAATTCGTTAAGGATACTGGTATGGAGACGCCATCTACACCATCCAGCGACAGGATTGGCCTCCTGCAGAACATCCAATCCAGCATGCAAAGCATTGCTGATCGAGTGACGAGAATAGAGGATAGTCACAGACAAAATCCTTCGATCTCATTCTTTGAAACGGCCACCCCATACAAGAGCAAAGTTGCAAATCAAGGCCGAAAGATACCAGTGCAATGGGAGAACTGGAGGAAGAAACGAAAGACTTGGACTCCAAAGGGGTCAAACTTTTTTCCTGTATCCGACTCAACGATGAGTTTCCCGAAGTCGAGCTTTTGTTCCACCTTGCCAAATCCGAGCAGGTGACAAATTCGTGATAAGTTTAGTGCCCCAGCTGCCCGCACTCGGCTTGTCCTGGACTTGACAAAGTCATGAGGTTCAGGATAACCACCGAGACGAAGTCTCGTGATAAACAATTCGCGCGCCTGCAAAGTTTGGGCTTGGATGTCGTAGGTCCCCTAACTTGAGCGTTAGAGGGAGAAGAGAGTGGTGATATCTCTGCGGATGAAATCTTGGAGGCTGTATAGTCAGCAATTCGTCGGCCCAGTGTAATCGGGAACGCCGACAAATTGCCGTCTAGCCTCAATCCCCGCATTGCGGATATGGCTGAGGATGATTCAATCTTTACTAACGCCCGCCAGAATTTGTTTGGCGACGGGTTCTATAAGAAGGCTAAAGAGCAAGACGATGAGATGTGGGTGCTGAACAGCGTTGCCAGTAAGACCCAGTCAGCTCCTGCCAAGACACCAAGTGGTGTCAAGAGCCAGCAATCTATTTTTCACCGGGACTCCCGCAATTTCCGCGGAGGGTTCAGGGGAAGAGGACGTTACCAGCTGTGCGTCGGCAACTCAAGCTTCAACCACTACAGAAGCAGCAAGAAGCCTCCGACTCTGCCAAGTGACAGACAAGTCCAGCACACCAGCAGGACCAGAAGTGTCTTCTTGTGAATCATTTGAAATAAATAAAATTTCTTCCAAACATGTCTCAATCTCCGCATTATATGGTGTGCCTGAATCCCTTGAGTTTTGTGGACATGGCCTTATATGGCTGAAAGCATAACCTTACAGAGTCCATCCCCTCCAGGGAGGATCACCTTTTCATTCAAAATTGGAAAGTTCTCACATTCGACCGTTGGGCACAGGATTGTGTGCAAGGGTATGCAACAGATTGGATTGCTCAACCCCACCGAGTGAACCGCCCCGTGAAAATACCGTATTTCCCCGATTATAAGTCGCACCCCCACTTCCAGGTCTGAGCCATACTGTCCCAGTACAGTATTATATGAGTATATTCACATCAGCAGGATGTCACACCCGATTGTAAGTCGCACCTCCTTCTTTGAAGTTCAGTGTAAAAAGGTGTAAGACTTATATTCAGGGAACTACGGTAGCCTTTTCCGGGGAAGAGATGAACTGTCTTTCACTGCGGTTCGGCTTTTGTCGCAATTTTTTGTTAAAAAAAGCAGTCCGTATACGAATTGTGGATTTGTGTCAGGAAAATCATAATGGTACCATGTTGTACAGTCTAATACGTCAGTAGACTTTTTTTATGCGAGGTCTTGAACAGCCTTTTCTGTCGGCAAATAAACTCAACGATTCGAAAAATCGTATAATAGAGGGTAGTTGGAAAATGGAAAATCCTACTATGGGAATGCGCGCACGTAAAACAGCCAGAATCGCTACTGTTCTCAGTTGCCGATGCCAACCCCAGCTCCATCCTGCTTCCACAGGCCAGTCAGGCACCTGCTGGACCCACAAAGCCGGTGACCGACACCACAAAAGACAGCGAATTGGGTCCGAACTTGCACCCATGCTATGGCGGCTGAGAAGAGCTCGTCCCACTTGACTTGAGGGGTAGTGTAGTCATGTACAACCTATCAACGTGATGCAAGCGCGAATCCTGTTCGCTAACCCTCTCCACAATGCGAATTTCGTCACTGAGTTCGTCTTTTTCATCGCAGTGCGAACTCAAATGCGAAACTCGTCTTGCTAAACCTCCCTATTGTCGCACTTTTTTTTAATGAAAAACCAGGCCAAACCCTATGTGGCGTAAATCCTAAATATTCGGTTTTCATAGAAACGGGCACCAACCACAGTGTGACATTTTGCTACCAACAGGGACTGTAGTCGATTCACCCGTGACGGTTTAATCCTGGAGTGCACACCAACGTTCTCATTGCATGTACATGTATGAGATAGTTGTGTGTTCTGGATGGCAGTCGCGAGCCAGTCAAGCGCCAAGTCTAGTCGTCGGAAAAGCGCGAGCTCCGGTGTGGGGAGCAAACACTTTTCCTATGTACACGTATGTCAGGGAACTCAAACTGAGCACACTGGAAAGGACCCAGTAACAGGCTAACAACATAGACACACACCACAAGCAGACAACATTTGCAGCATGCACAGTTGCACAGTTAGTGCTGGAATACAGACTGACCAGTAATGATGGTAAGCGTGCTATAAACGGCTGAGCCTGGACTACAAGATACAGTCCTGCAAACAAAAATATAAAAAACAACAAAATTAATGTTCATGATGTCGTGTCCACAATCATGCAGTTCCGCAAGAGTACGAGGTGATTAGCGAAAATTTTACATTGGATATTTTTTTACATTTTCTGTAAACTAAATTTCGTTGTCGTCGAGATATCTCCTTTAGGAAGTAATCTTTGACATTCGATTAGATATTCCGTTAGTATTATCAGTGTAGTTCGTGTTGCAGCCGAAGTTTTTGTTTCTGCGACTCCGCCATGCCGTGACGAGGCCTCAGTATTTCGTTGTGCGTAGTAAATTGCTATAACAGTCGTGTAAACCAGCATGATATGGAAGAAACCAGGTCGCGTATGCAGCTTAGGTCGGCAACCGCTGTTGCTGATGGCATCACTGATGGCTTTTCCAATGAAAACTCGCCTTCTGTAGATCGCTCGACGGCCACAGGCCCCACACAGACGCCAAACCAAAACGGGCAGAAAAGAGCATAGTTGCTGTTGTTGACTTAGACTCCGGACATCCGAGCCAATGCGACCAATGCTGTTCTATTGGAGGCTCTGCGCGTCCAGCTGAATGTAACCAATGCCAGTGAATCTGAGACCACGCTCCAAGAGTTAGCATCATTGTTTTACGATGTCCCAGCTGGAGATGCTAGCCTTGCCACCAGCCACTTGACTGCCGCCAGCACAATTGCAAGCGGACCTGTTTCTGCTACGTCTTCTTTATCTTCCGACACGTTCGCCGCAGAGGATATACCGTATACTGCTTCCCTTGCTTCTAGCTGCGATTCCTCCGTCCACATGCACAGTCGGGCAGCCCCTGAGCACAGCGTCCTTCAGTAGTGCTTCTCTCCATTGAGTGTTGCGCGAATCAATGGTGCCAGCACTTGTCTAACTCAGTGATGGCTTTCTGCTTTGCATTCAGTATGTGGTCAGAGTCTGCTAATGCTCGGATGTTACTTGCCTGATGTCAGTTTATTACTTTTTGTCCTAGCACCAGTTTGGCATTCTTTATTTTGAAGTTTAATGGCGGTGATTTGCTCCTGCTGTGAGTGTGGTGTGTGGGTCAATTTTCAAGATGGCACTTGAAAGTGCAAGAATTGGTGTTCTGTTTTGACTCTATTCGTGTTATTTGTGTAGTGGCATACCTATACATGTGTGTGTTGGTTTCCATATAGCCTTGTTATGGTATGTTACCTGTGGTTTACACACATGTAAAAGAATATACAAGTATTTTCAGGACTGAAAAAACGACCTATTTTGGGTCACCTGGGAAAGTCTACATTGCTGTTAGGGAAGTTGAACTGTGATGGCATGACACGAGTCATAGATTATTCTACCATGTAAACTACTATAAGTCATGAAAAAAGGGCATTGGCTATGAATGCAGGGCGAGTTTACAAACGTGTAAAATTTTTGCTAATCACCTCGTACAGCACAATCCAACTCATACACCCACGAGGGCATCAAAGGCCGGGGGGGGGGGGGGGATGCGATGACGTCACAAGTTCCCACGCTTTAGCAAATAAAACACTACAAATCCGCTACTGTCCTCCATATACACATAAAGTCGTGGCCACAGAAATTCGACCCACGAGTCAAAAGTAGCACTGCGATTCCATTTCAATTTCATCATGCAACACGTCTAAAAAGCAATAACCCACCTGAGGGCCGCATGAGCCTTGGCACTGCTTTCGGCTAACGGGTCGGATTTCTTTGGCCACGGCTTTACATATAATTATGCCATAATTATATGCATCATATGAATGACAAGGAATCAAATTTGCCTGCATGGCTATTCTTTCACATTTTTTGCACCACCATTTTGATAGGTACACAATGCACTAGTGCTACATAATTATACATCGAACTGCGCCTGGCCTGCTTAGAAGTCCCCTGCAGCCAATGTCAACACATCTACTACTCCCACCCATGCGCTTGATTGTCTGTTTATCATGATCTGCTGAATATTGAGTTAGAACTTCAGCCAGAATTATCAAATTTAGGAGAGGTCACCTACGAAAATTACCTCTGCTTAAAAACCCTTGATGGGAGTAGTTTGGCTGCATAGACTTTAATAGGGCTTTGCACCACTACAAACGATCCAAAAAAATACAGACGCCGTTGGCACGGGGATAGCGCTGCACACCGCTACAACTAAAAACATACCTTGACAGATGTGACCGAGGCCGTTCCATCTGACAGCCTGCAAAGCGAGTCAACATGACAGAAAACCACACAAAAATCATGGCTCAACAGTGTGTGCTGCTTCATCGTCATAGCATAGAATTTGAAATGTCAGGATGCCAATCACGTACGTTTCACGGCCATACACTTGGAGTACTACATCTGGCATCAATTGGAATTGGAAGCAAATCAGGATCGATTAAAACAGTCCATACTAACGTACACTGGACTCGACACGCTGCAGCAGCTTGATGACACGGTCCAGTAGGCGCACAAGCAGAGGCTGCAGCTTGCTTGACTTCCAGTCCATAACTGGCAACACATCGGTGAAAAACCTGCTCATCGCACATGTACCCATATACACACACCCGCACGCATGCACGCACGACCACAGACACGCACGCACACACACACACACACACACGCATGCACGCACACACACACACACACACACACACACACACACACACACACACACAGAAGCACACACACACACATACACGCACACACGAACGCACGCATGCACACACACACACACACAAGCGCACACGCACACACGTCTAGTCAAAACAATGGTCCAGGTTACTAGTACATATTGTTTCTACTTCAAAGTACTAGTACTCCGAGTCTTTCTTGAATAAGCAATCACACCCATACACAGGGGCGTACCCACGTAGTGCCAAGTGCGTGAAAAATCAACCTGCCGCTGGCGTCGAGTTACAGCTTAATTCCGCCTAGCTCCATTGCTAACTTGTGTTTTTTTGACTCTGCCCTTGTGGCATTGAGCACTTTCTTGCAAGGGTGTAGCAACATAGCTTGTAGTAACAGCAAATACATGTCAAGCTACAAAGCTTGAAAGGCAAAGTCATCAGATGGGCTAGTGACATTGCCCATTGTTTTCGTAGTAAGATCATAGAACACTGGCGGTTGTGAGCAGTTGCCTCTTTTTAAAAGAACATAAAACAGGTCGTGTGCAGAAATAGGGGTCCGTGAAAAACCACCCTGCTGACCGCCTTGGGTACGCCTCTGCATACACGCACAGGCACATGTGCACACAGCGGCAGTGGGTAGCAGTACGGTAGAACACAAACGTAGTTTACTACGCAAGATTGGTAACAAAACAAGCTACATATACCCAGCAGAGCGCAGTTACGCTGAAATAGGTACTGAGGCCTGCATTGAATACGTGACCTCCAGTACAGTGCACCACCCAGAATGGAATACACCCCGTACCTTTGCAAACCAATTCCATCCAGAGCGTCGGCATCGTGATTGTTGGAAGCAGTCTTGATGAGTGATGCCGTTACCTTCAGCAGTGTCTAGAACAATAGAGGTGCACAGAACACGCGCTGTCTGTGCCATGAAGGGAAACCAAACTATAGGAGGAACGCATGTGCATGTATTTACACAAGAGAGAGATTGGAAGCTGTGTCGCAACTTTGAGTGTCACGTATTACTACGATTATCAGGCACCTGATGGCTCCAAAACGGGCAGCCTGAACATAAGGGGGAGCAAGGTGAGAAGCACTACATGTATTTATAGTTCTCACAACCACCCACGTGGAAGATTTGATCACGGAAGTTAGGGACTCAGCAGCGGAATCAAGCAGGACACAGCATGTGCAAGTTTGGCGAAATACAAGAACCATGCCATCCCCAAAATAGATGTGTGGTTGTTGTGTGAATAGATATGTAGGTGCATGCGACCATGTGAGGGGGGGGGGGGGGGGACAATAACTGTACTTTGCATGGTGCTAACGCATGTCTGTCTTGATTCCAGCCAAATACGGTCAGGGGGCTGCATTGCTGACTTCTGTCGGCCCTGGCAAACTTGCATAACTGACAAACATACTGTCAATGTCTACATTCAACATAGGATTGAGAAAATCATGGTAAAACTGTACCCTAATTAGCAATGCCATACCTGAACACTGGAAGTATTCATTGAGGAGATAACCGACGCATCAGACGTGACATAGTCAGCAATGATGTGAAGCAGGCAGTCGCGCGGCTCCCTGAACTCGGCGAACCGAACAGACAGCGACTTCGATGACATCTGCACACAAGGCAACCCCGCAGAGCCAGGGTATATAAAACTTCACAGCAACAAGTCCTGCACTACTCCTTGTAAAATACTCAAGTACAATACTGGTTCAGAATAGCCCAAAGAGATCCAACTTGTGTACTCAGCTGCACACACATCATTGCCAAAACGTGATGTACATCCAATTACATGCATAATTTCAGATTTGCACCCTGGCACAAGGCCGACTGATGTGGAAGCAGACCGAAGTAACACCAGTGAAATGACCCCCTTACCTGTCCGGGCTTTTCTGCTCGGTCCGATATGCCCGCGTTGTTGGAGTGAGCGTCTTCTTCCGGCATGGACTGGCTCGCTCGCGGCGCATTGGACGAGTGCGTGTGTGGACGGCTGCGGTCAAACGTGCTGGTACGCCGCCTGTCGAGACAGCATCAAGGCAGCATCATAGCAACATCATAGCAGCATCATAGCACACATTGACTTCCAGAATATACTGAGGTCGACGGAAACACTGAGTGATCTCCATCCCCCACCCACCCACTCACACACCATTCCCCTCTTGCCTCTGAAAAACCCAAATCCAGAACTTGAACTCAAATTTAAATTGTAAGCAAACAGTCGGGAATGGGCGAGTGTGCATATATGTGTGTGTGTGTGTGTGTGTGTGTGTGTGTGTATGTGTGTGTGCGCGTGCACGTGTGTGTGTGTGCGTGTGTGCATGCAGAACTTACAAATTCTTCTCCGGTACTGGTCGTAGAGAGGTGTAGCGAGACAAGCTCTCGCAGCCATGCACCAGAGCTCTCATCACGGTCAGAATCAGAGATGAGCTGCGTGCAACCTGCTTGAACTTCAGCACAAACGGCATGATCTGCCTCAGGACGTACTGCATGATAGAACAATGGGAAACACACGAGAGACCGTCGGAGTGAGTGCCCGTGGAAGAAAATCCAACTAGAGTACTTAAAAAGAGGTTGTGCAAATGATGTCACGTTGGTGTGCTAGTGGATTTCCTTATGGGAGCTAAGTATACACGGCCAAGGCTCAAGCCAAAGGAGAGTAGGCACCTGGCCACTCTAAGAAAAGAATGCCACCATTCTACGGGGATCTAGAGTGGTGAAATCTCAGTACATCCTGATTCCAAGGCCCATACCGTAAAAGCCCGTGTATAAGCCCCGGGCATATAGAATAGCAGCCTCGATTTCCTGGGCGTATACAAGGGCACGGGCGTTATTTTGGAACCGGGCGTATACTTGGAATAGGGATAGCAGTAAGTATTGGGTATCAGTACCTGTACATGTACTGGTGTTGCCGGCATACCTGGGCGTATACATGGGCATGGGCGCTATTTTGAAACAAAAGTGTTGACCTCCCCTGACTGGGCGTGTACATGGAGGGTGGGCGTATTTTTGGGTGGACGTATACAGGGGCTTTTACGGTACTAGTAGGGAGGTTTAGTCCCACGTAATACGTGGGTACTTTACGTGTGTGTACCACGTGATACTCAGTGGCCCACGTACAGACGTTTTCTGATTCACGACATGCCGTGTATGGAGGCTCACCCACGTTCTGCCAGAACGTGGGTGAAAATCAGAATGGAGCGCATTGTGCAAGCTGTGAGGGTGCTCAGCTGAAGAAGTTTCCGATGCACGAAATCAAAATATTGGATGAGCTTCTTAGGCCCGGTTAGCTTCGTCTTTGACCAGGTTTGGGCCTTTCGCTTTATGCTTTTGTTTGTTCCGTGTGACTAAACACAACATTGCAACGTGGGTGCCCTTCATCCACTTTACGTGGATCACCCACGTACGCGTTTCCGTTACGTGGGAACTAAACCTCCCTAGTATTAGCATTTGCTGGCCTGTACGCGAACTGTTCTATTATTATTATTATACATGTACTAGTAATCTGAGTTTTTTCAGCTTAGGCACAGGCAGTGTGGCTGCCGAAGGGTTAAAGACTGAACCATGATACAACGCTGATAAATACTTGAGTTGTTCAGCTCAGGTACAGACAGTGCAGCCGCTGAATGGTTAAAGAGTAGTTCTCAAGAGACCATGATGCAACACTGACAAAATACAAGTGCTTACTAGCATCTCAGCACCACGCAAGGAGTCAGACTCAAATGCTATCACTGACACGATGATGCGCAAGACCTCCACCAGCGAGAAAGGCACATCGACTCGACCAAGCTCCGCCAGGCCAATCCTTCCAGTTTGTGCAAAGCGCTGCAGGCGTGGCAGAGGCAAGAGAAAGAAATCACAACACCTCACTCAACCCAGGACAATGCACAGAGAACGTGAACCTAGGGTAATAATGTTAACAGGTATTCTGTAATACCACGCATGCACACACACACACACACACACACACACACACACACACACACACACACACACACACACACACACACACACACACATACACACACACACACACACACACACACACACACACACACACACACACACACACACACACACACACACATACACACACACACACACACACACACACACACACACACACACACACACACACACACACACACACACACACACACACCGTGTAGTCATTGCTTATTGTAAGTCTACAAAATTCCGGCGCCTCCCAGGGCTAAAACACTTTTCGGCCGCCTTAAAATTTCGGCCTGCACTACTGCTGCCCGTCTACACTGTCACACTGAACTTTGCAAAACAAAATGTCAGCCGCCACAAATTTTCGGTCCAAAATGCCCAGGCCGAAAATAGATATGCGCCGAATATTTGTTGACTTACATTAGACCTAGAACATGCTCAATCAAGCTTGCAACCCTATCCAGCCCCATCCCCAAACACCTTCGGACCTTTGCATGCTCATTACTCCATGCAATAATAGCATTAGAGAAGTTGCAGTATCTCCTGTGGCGATTCAAACCATTGGACTCGAATGTGAAGTCCCTGCCACAGCCGCAAATGAACATTTTCGGCTTTGGAACAGCCGTCCCGGGACGGTCACACATCAAACCCCATCCCCAAACACACACACACACGCGCACGCACGCGCGCACGTGTGAACGCACGCACATACACTGACACGCACACACGCACACACACACGCACACATACATATACACACGCATACATACACACACACACACATACACACACATACACACATGCACACACACACACACACACACACACACACACACACGCAGGGTCTCACCTGCGAGGACGTGAACAGTGGCACGGCCACGGGCGGATTGGCGCTGATGGTGCGCGCATCCTGCTGATGGTACTCCCAGTGGCTAGCGTTTGTACTGCCCATCGTCTTCTCAGCCGCTGTCAGGTTTTCACCGTTTGCACCGTCGGTGTGATGGGCACCCACATGTGTTACAGTGATGGGGTCCGTGTGGTGGCCCTTGGACTGTAACATGGCTATCAGGTCACCGATGCACAGCGGATCCTCAGGGTTTGTCACCGTCATCGACTGCAGCAGCGAGACCACACTCTGCGGGCTCACCTGGAGTTCATATCAAACAAAAGCAAGATAGAATTACAGAATTATAGCTAACGTGTACCAGGTGGTGGAAGACAGGCAAACTACGCTACAAAATTCTCTAACATCCGGACGTACAATGCCAAATTCCTGATCTAATCTGTTATCATACGGTTTCAAGACTTGTCGACGATAGCCAGCTGGGTACAAACTCATCCACACTGCTCAACGGCCATCACAGTTCATTCTCCCCACACTCACATTCTACGCTCCTTAACTGTTAGCTCTTTCCGACAAGAGAAAATAAACAGACCCGTGAAGACGGCTGCAAAGCACCATTAACTAACCTGAGGTGGCGCCTTCTTCTTCTTCATGAAGTAGGGCATGTTGGGTGTAAGCATCTGATGAGCAGCGGACGACAGTAGCTGTGATGTGGGAAAAGCACAGAAAAAGCAACGGTAATAAGCAACATACAGCGGGCAGACAGTGAGTGTAGCTGCACAATACACCTGTAAGCTATGCGCACACACGAAAGACGAGAAAGGAAACATGCAGCCCGTGTCAGTTGTAATCGTCAAAGAAGCATACTGCTGTACTAGATACTGCTGTGCTAGGTAGTGGTGTTGATTGCTGGTGCTGGTGCTAGATAGTGGTGTTGATTGCTGGTGCTGGTGCTGGTGGTGGCATACCTACAAGAGAAATATGATACTCTAGCATAGTTCTCACTGTGGTACATGCATGCAGAGTGGACTGCCATCTTGAAATCGACCACCCATCAGGATGATGATATGATGGGGGGGGGGGGGAATATCACTCACTGCCAAGGACAGAGACATTACGTCACCTCCTGGCGGTGCGCGTGCACACACACCCACACCCACACACACCCACACCCACACCCACACACACAAACACACACACCCACACCCACACCCACACCCACACACACCCACACACACACACTTGAAAGGTACAAAGCATCTCACACACCACCTGACAAGTTTGGTAAACCAGCCACAGCACACAACCTGACCGGTTGGGTAGAAGCAGCCACAGAACACCACTAACCTGCAGAATAAAGCCCACGTCGTGACGATTGTAGAACTGACGACAGGTGTACTAAGACAGCGTAAACAAAGTGAAAAACAGAGAGACATTCGCAAATGAACAGTTGGATGCAGATCAGTACGATGCACGGACTCCATGCATTGACCATGAACAGTAGACTGGAGAAGACTTTATACAGTTGCGCTCACTGAAATCCAACCAAAAGTGCAAAACTGGCGCCCTGGACCAGTTTCGATTACATCACTGTACATGTACATGCACTGTGTATGCTCAGCCGCATTCGTACCGCTTCCAGGGCGTCACGGGCCGTGCAATTCGAGGGCGTCAAATATGCGCTTTAAGTCGGATTTCACCGAGTACAACTGTAGTATATACCACTCTCCTTGTCGTCAAGCTGGTCTTCGCCTGCTGCCCTTTCCTAGCCAATGATAAAGACAAGTTAAGGCGATAAATAGTATAAGCGAAGCGGACATTACGAAATGATCAATGAGAATACATGTATGTTAAAATTGATGTTCCTAATCGATTTTCTTGAGACTATCATCAGGGAAAAATCGTCTCACAATAGAAGCTATGCGGAGAAACAAACTACTTATACGTCTATAGGATAGTGGGAAGTATACAAGGTGAGGTGTGAAAAAAAAACTAAAGTGGGAGAGAAGACGAAAGAAAGAAGAAGAAAACATCTGAGAGTGTTCCAACGGTGTGAGCTACTACAAAAGGTGAGTGAAATGAAGGCGTGGAAGCAGGTGCATGTGATAGAGTGAAGAACTGTGAGGTGTAGGTGTATGCGAATGAATACGTGTGTCAATGCTAGGTGAAGAGTCTCAGTTTTGTGACATTTTCTTTCTGAATGCATAGATTAGGGTTGTGTTTACGGATGAAAACAGCTGAACGGATGAAAACAGCGATTTTTCCCTGATGATAGTCTCAAGAAAATCAATTAGGAACATCAATTTTAACATACATGTACTGTATTTTCATTGATCATTTTGTAATGTCCGCTTTGCTTATACTATTTATCGCCTTAATAAAGTTATTGTCTCCTCGTCGCCTATTCATAAAGACAAGTCTGCTTTAAAACACACTAAACCTCAGTGTTGCCCCCTTTGCATTGCATTTCCCACATTTCCTACCATGCAAGTTACCAAATGTTCTCAATTGGAAAGATCGTTCGTTCTCAGAAGTATGACATACTTCTGAGAACTAATAATCTTTCCGATGACATTGTCATATATACGATGAGTAACACCAGTCTTACCTCGACTGACTTTCGGACCAGGCTGCTTTCCTTACTGGACGAATAGCAAGTGAGCAACGCTGCCAGGATTGGCTCATAGCTGTGCAGTCAGGATTAGAAGCACACAAGACTTCATTGACAGAGACCAACGAGCCCAGTGCAAGAGTGAAATCCAACAAGGCATGTGTAGGATACAGTGGAAACTGTCTAAGTCGATCGCTCAAGGTACCTCACAAGTGTGGTGCCCGTGCACACGTGGTCCTGTTATCCAGGGTTATTCATTTCGACTGGAAATACATTCCCTTGGTCCTAGTTGTAGCATTCTCAAGGGCAGGTGGTCGCCTTATCAGAGTGGGCGCCTTGACAGGTTTTTACTCTACTTCTAAACTGAGAAGTGAGAACGCCCATGCACAAGTTTTCTCACACATGCAACAATGGAAAGAATGTTTCAAGACACATCATCAGATTCACTACACACAAACATTGAGCAACAGTAGTGAAAAGCCTACATCGATTGCTCAGCTCCATGCTTACCCGTGCAGCGGGAACAGGTGCACAAACTTGCGACTGGCGTTGATGTAGGTAGCACAGGTGTGACGCAGCAGGGCATTGTCGTCGCTATGCAACGACACTGCACCGTTCAGCACACTGAGAAAGAGCGAGGCTTCCGGGCCCCATTCAAACGTGCTCGGCAGGCCATCGAACAGGATCGACACAAACTGCATGGTACACAGAAAGGCAGAAATACATGAAACAGGCTTTGCATTGTAATTTGTTACCCAGTACAATGCACTACTTTACGCATGACCACGTGAGGAGGAGGAGGAGGAGGAGGAGGCCAGGGTGTTCCAAGAAATTTCTGAATTTCATCATGTGGCGATGGAAGGTCCTGGTTCAGCGTGAAAGCAAAAAAACCTGGTTATTTTCTAGGCTGTATTTGACTTTGAAGGTTGTAGTTTGAAGGTGGGAGTTCACAGTAATAACAATCTTTAATGGATGAGGTGTGCGGTACGTTTCGAAATATTTGGCTGCTTCAGCCTATCTGAGCAAGATACTTGAAGTACGAAGATAGCAACCTGTTGCTGTCATTGCGTTCCAACAGTGGCCTACTTGGAAAGGGCTAACGTTGCTGTGCTGATGGCAAGACGACTACGGGTAATTGTTGCATGCATAGCAACATACATCACATGTGTTTATGGATTGTTCAATGTCCTGCGTGAGCGAACGGAAATGGAAATGCACCCATGAAACATCGATGGGGTCAAAAACTTAAAAAAAGCGGTGGTGTGCCATCCCGCACACGCAGCCCTAGACAACTCTTCTCCACACAACATTCGCACTGGGAACTTTGCAGCGCTACAGTTTAGTGCGCCTTTGTTCGGGCTATCAACAGCAAGGATACACTTACTCGAACCCAGACACGTTTGTGCAGCTTGTCGCATCCAAACAGACCCTGGACAGACACAACACAGCAGGCCGGAACAGCGTACAAGTACAGCTACGTTGTTCAAATGGAAATAATATGTGCATGAACAACCAGTGTGTGATTTCGTACATTTTGACATAATAATTATATAATATCAGTGTCGTGAATCAGGGTGGTGTGACCGTACTATCGGTCCGTGGTGCTCTAGGCTTTTGCACGTGGCATAGATTGCACTTTAACCCCCCCCCCCCCTCCCCTTGATCTAGAAATGACTTCATAAGTGTGCTTTGATCTGTACTTTCACCTAACCATGCCTTTTTCGGCACTTTTCTCTCCCCTCTCCCTCTCCCTCTCCTTCCTGCGCTCTCCCTCCCCCTCCCGCTCTCCCCCCCCCCTTTCTCCCTCCCTCCCGCTCTCTCCCTGCTTCCTTCTCTTCCACCCTCCCTCCATTTACGAGGCGGAAAGATGCTGAGGCAAGCAAGATTTCAAGGCTGATCAGAATTCTGAAATACGTTCACCCTTCGTTTCACCTTCGAAACACTGGGGCGACCAGCCATAGCTCCATCAGCCTTGCAAACCTATAACTATCAGCAAGAGACACCTAGAAAACTGGATCTTCTAACAAACCATTGATATACGCCATGAGACCTCCTGCAAATTACTGCAGAAACAGTGATGAGCAAAGGGACGGACTCGGATGGAGAGCCAGGGAAAAAAATTATAGAAAAGAAAAAGGACCAAGCCAGTTAGGTGTTAGTGGACATTATAGCGTAACTTGTAGTTCCTTGGTCCTTTTTCTTTTCTATATGAGCAAAGGGACGCTAAGGTTCGTTTGTATCCAGAACTTTTGTTGGCATGTGTTGTCAGGTGTGTGTCACATCATCACTTCGAAGGACTATCAAAGAAGAAGAAGAGATATCAGTTAGTTAGCCAGTGTGCAGTGATGGGGACGGCAAGTGGAAGCGAGCGGGTGGAAGGTGTTTACAGGCAGCTTGCCAGCCCCAATGTCGACCTTTGCTAGTAAGCAAAGCCGTCAAGACGACCAGCTGCAACTGGGAAGCAATATGCCGTGAACTTTATTGTCTGCTGCTGGGATCGTGCTGCAAGTCAGAGTTTTCTCATGCATCTCAGCAGAGATGTTGATTTACGTATTACTTTAGTTTCCAGCCAGCTTCATTGCATGTGTGAATAGGGAAAGAAAGAATTCCTTTTGCAGTGGAAGGGCTATGGTATGGAGGAAGCATTGTGGGAACCTTGCCGTCACCTCACGCCAGAACTTCTCCATGAGTAGTTTGTGGTGTATTGTGTTTGTCGCCGTATTGCCTCTCTCCGTACTCTTTCTCACATCTGCATTATATGCGTATGCTCGTTGTAAATAAAATCAGTCCTTGCCTTGTCCCGCAATCGACTCCTGCGTAGGTGGCAGGCCGAACACAACATGGTGGCAGTGGTGAGATTCAAACCCGCGCCTCCGGAGAGAATGGAGCCTCAGTCCAGACCCCCGGAAGCTCCACAAGTGCCAGCCATGGCAGAAGCTGCTTCGGTGCTGTGTGGGCGCATCGATGCCTGTTTGTCATCGCCCCATTCCCAAACTTCTGTTGTCCCAATGTCTGATTCTATGTTTCGTCATTTGTTCTCATGCACTACGCCGGTCAGCCAAACCACATGCAGCGTACATGATTGCAGCACAGCGGCCTCAGAACACTGCCCTGCAGACAAACTGCATGTACGCACTCTGAAAGAACAATGCGAACCGGCTCTGTGCCCGGCCCATTACCAGCAGTGTGTGGGCCATGCAACAAGTGCTTGGTGTAAGTCCAGGCTCACACCACATCACAGGTGGAAGGCACCGAACTTTCAGCTTGCAGAACATGTGTTGCGTAGCACACACAACATTACAATCTTAGAGAAGAGTCGATTTTGTAGATGCTGCTACCAGAAACAAATCGACATGCTCCCTGACAACAGGTGCACCAAGAACAGACCACAAGCTACGGCGTGTCATCTCTGAAAAAAGCACGGATGACACTGAGAGTGATCTTCCCAATACTGCCGGTGGTTTTCGATGGCGATTTCACTTGAAAAGCGGTTGGTGTTGGTGCAAACCAGATGCACGTGATGGAATTCACCTTCTTCAGCATCAATGCAGAGGAGGCGGACTCCAGGGTATGGCGGCATGCCCTCCAGTGTGAGCGTGCTGTAGTGTACAGTCCGGATACGGACACCTATCACATTGGCTTGCCACTCGTGTCCGGAGAAGTGTATGTTCGGATCGACATGCCTGGGAGCCAAGAGCGAAAATACATTAATATCCCTAAGCCATCTGTGTCGTATCCATACTATTGACACGTGCCTTTTTAGGCCTCTACGGGACAAGTATGCCTTATTTAGGTGTCTAATTATTTATCTATCTCCCGTAAACGGGTTCATAATCGTCTTTATTCTTCACACAAGGCCTGGGGCCTTCCTTATTTGGTATACGCTGTTATTTCCCCACATGGCTCCCGCTCTTTATGCAACAGTTCGTACACGTTCTGCCAGCACGTCAAATTTATTTCAAGTGGAAAAGCTGTGCCAGGCTTGCTCAGCCTTCCAATGTAAGCATGCTGTAGTGTACAGTCCGGATACGGACACCTATCACATTGGCTTGCCACTCGTGTCCAGAGAAGTGTATGTGCGGGTCGACATGCCTGGGAGCCAAGAGCGAAAATACATTAATATCCCTAAGCTGAGCACTGCCATCTGCAACGATCCTGACCTACAGCAGCTTTCCCAACCTGAGAAGGTGAAGGTAATGCAAGTGCTATTCATTGCCACGGGCTGTGATTTTACATTGTTCTTTCGATCGTTGGGTAAGAGCAGCATTGACCGGACGTTCTGCCAACACGCCGAATTCATTTCAAGCGGAGAAGCTGTGCCAGGCTTGCTCAGCGAAGTTTAGCCGCAAAACCAGGAGCGTGGCTTTCTTGCCTTCTTGCGTCTCAGTGTGGGATGTGCGTACCATGTCAAGCATACTTCCAGCTTTGATGACAGCGGACCCAGGTCACTGCACCAGCAGCAAACGGAGGGAGGTGACCAACATTCCAGTATTCGTGTGTGTGCATGTATACATGTGCAGGTTCAGAACAATCCTCTGTTATGGTAGAAGAGGTGAGGCAGAAAGAGCAATGCTCTGCTCTACGCTAACGGGAACGCAACACGAAGAATCCCTTGATCATTCGTCACGTTCCCGTCACGTATGAGAAACCTGTTCTGCTCTACGTTCACGCAAAGAAACCATGTGGAATGTGTACTGGAATTTCCCCTTCCAAATTTGGCACCTTCCTCGATAATTTGAAGGAACGCACCGGGTCTGTGTGCATTTTCTTTTTGTGTGCCGCAGGGTAGAGAATTCCATGTCCGGATAGAAATCTGCACCCCAACACGTGAAGCCATAGACTCTGACCAGTTCTCTACGTGATTTCTCTACGTTTCACACAGAGCAGAACATCGCTAACACCATACTTTACCGGTTAGAAGTCCACATTTTATGACCTAAGCCGAACTAAAACAAATGGGTACTGTAAGGCAACAAATATTTGGCGCATGTTTATTTTCGGCAATTTTCGGCCTGATCATATTTGGCCGAAAATTTGTTGCAGCCCAAATGTTGTTTTGCAAGGTCCAGTGTGACAGTGTATACAGGCAGCAGCAGTACAGGCCGAACATTTGTTGCAGCCGAAATGTGTTTTAGCCCTGGGAGGCCGGAATTTGAATGGGCCGAAAATTTGTCGACTTAAAGTAGACTTACAACCCGGGTTTACCCACAATCATATTGAACCGGGCCAAGTATTGGGGGTCGACTTTTAAAACCAGTAAAATACGGTAAGCCTTACTCCTACTGGGATGGCCGTCCTTTTCAACACGCCAGTGTATTGTGTAGCAGTGGTTTGACGCCTCCCACAATACCCAGCCATGATACACAAAGCTAATCTAACTGGATGCAGAATAAGTTACACGGAGCATGTAACAACGTACCGCTCTGTCCTCCAGGAAGTAGAAGAGATCGAAATCGCTGTCCACAGCCCGGCGCGGAAACGCCTTCTGGTTGCTGAGCTCATGGTGGAGAAACTCCACAGCCTTGTGTGATATCTGGAAGAAGAATTAACAGCAATCCACAAAGCACATGCTTCAGAGGAAAATGAGCAGGAACAATGGTAACGAAATGTTATATCCAGATATCCTGCTTTCTACTTTTCAGTACCAGGTACATGTGTAACTATGCACCCCTTTCATAGTCAACACACACACACACACACACACACGCACACGCACACGCACACGCACACACACACACACACACACACACACACAGTTAGCAGGACTGTTCTGCTGAGTCATGCTGTTCTGGTGGATTTCATTCTAGATTGCACCATCCAACACACATTTTAAAAGAATGCTTAGTATTAAAGTTACCAAGTCTAAGTTCTTACCCTGCAAGCTGAATACTTTTTAACGTTACAAGTATTTCCGAGTCTAAGCTCTTACCCTGTTACGTGTGACTTCTGCCATAGACATGACGGAGCTGGCAAAGAGAACACGGCTAATCTCACCGGTTTTGTAACCAAACGCCTGCAAGTGGAGACCAGTGGAAAGTCAAACACACACACACAAACACACA